GGATGGATGGATGGATGGATGGATGGATGGATGGATGGATGGATGGATGGATGGATGGATGGATGGATGGACTGCATCCCACACAAAGGGCTCTGCTCCTTCTGGAGGGTGGGAAAAGATGCCCCCATGGCTTCCTTGGCACTGTGTGAGCAAGAAGCACTTGGTGCTTCAGAGATGCCACCTTGGTTTGAAACAAGGTACTGAGTGCAGAGCAAAGAGGCGGTGGCTGCACGTGAAAGGCTGGATCTGCTCCTGCGAGTGATCCCTGCCCAGGGAGGAGGCCTGGTAGTCAGACCTGTTCTCTGCAAGCTTGCTGGTTTGAAGACCAGGAGATGTGAGGTGGTTGGAGGCTTTCTTGGAGGAATGGTCACTTTTCCTGCCTGTCCCAGCCTGTCCAGTGGGAGTTCTCCCCTCTGCAGCATTGCAGTTTTCACAGGATGAGTCGAGGGGTACAAAGCTGAGCACAGGGAAACCAGGACRGGAGACATCACCAAGAAAGTGTTCCTGCTGAATTTGTGAAAATCACCACCACACAAAGCACAGCCTCACACTGGGAAGTGAATCTGCTGGCGCAGTGTTTGTGGGGGATTTTGTGTTCCACGTGTCCATACCCTGGGTTCCTGCGTGCTGCCCCCTCCTTTGGGGAGGGCAGTCCTTTCTGGGTCCTCGTGCCTTATATCTTTTGTATGGGCTTTTGCTGGGTCATGCAGTCTCCTCTCTTGGTGCTCCTGGTTCTGATGGATTGTTTTTTACCTTTGGAAAGATATGCGCTTTTCAAGCAGCAGTTAATACACTTCTATGGCCCCATTACTCACAGCTGGCTGCTCTTCCCTGTCAGGGAGGTGGAAAAAACTTCCTTCCCTGGCAACAAGATCAAGATTTATACCATTCCTTGTATTCCTGACAAGGCACTGCTTGTGGGCTTTAAAAGTCATCAGTCCCCCATTTCTTTACTCTTTATTGTGATGATCTCTTGAGTTAGGAGCATTAGGAATGTGTTCTGGTTGGTGATGGGGAAAAGTCAAAATTACCATCTCCCACATCCSTGCTGGGTCCTGAGAGGCAGAGGAGTGTTGCTGTGGGTGGGAATGGAATGCTGCYTGGGGCATTTTACACCCCCTGTTCTTACAAATGGGCCAAAGGCATCTGGCTCTGCTTTTGTGTTGTGGTGCTGCTTCTGTAGATGGCAGGACTATTTGAAGTTTATGGGAAAGCTAATTTACCTGTCTGCATGTTTTGTATCAGCTTTTTTTTTTTTCCCAAGGAAGTTTAGAAGCTGGCCATGAATTTCCAGCCTGCTTTAGTGCTTGGCAATCCTGGGGAGAAATGTTCAAAAATGCTGKCTGGGGAAGAGTGTCCCATTTAAAGCTCAGTCCACACCATGTCCTGGGGTTGGAAACTCCTCCCTTTCCTCACCCCACTGAGTCTGGGGTTCTTCCGTCCCCTGCAATGCAGTTCAGGGCTGCATTCAGTAAGGACCAAGGCAAACTCCACTGCAGCCTGCTCTTGCCTGCTGCCAGCACTGCAGAGATCCCAGCACAAGCTCTCCATCTCTTTGCCAGGAGCTTGGCTCTGCACACAGTGTGTGCTGTGCTGGCCCCCACAGAACCCCTCCCCGCTGCTGCTGGGGAAAGGTTTTCCTTCAGACAGTGCAGGGCTTAAGGAAGGGTGGGTTTGACATCAGGTGGCTGCTTGGATCTGTTCCTCGTTTTCCCCCCTTGGTGGCTCCTGGTCTATGGAGGAGCTCAGCACCCCGTTATCAAAACCCCAGTGCTGGATTCCTCACCAGCAGAGATCAGACCTGCTCTGGGGTGATTTATKTCAGCAAATACCAGATCAGCTACCAGATCAGGGAATCCATTGACTTAGCAAAGGAGCTTGGCTCCGTGTGCTCTCCTGGAGGAGCAGCCCAGGATCCAGGTGAGGGCTCCAGTGGGTGCAGCCACAGCCAGTGGTGCACAGCCACTGAGTGTCCCTGTCTTTGCCAGGCTGATGTTGGGAAGGGCACAGGCTCATGCTGTGACCCTGGGGTGGGTCCTGGCCAGGCCAGGAAAGCCCCAGGAAGCTGGGACAGGGGTTTTCCTGCCCGGTACTGAGCACAGTCCAGTAGAGAGGGTTAATGTAAACAGGGCAAGGGCTGCTGTCAGACCCCCGGACAGCAGAACCTACAGTAATGTTGGGAAATTGGGGGGGTTTTACAGCAGCACAACCAGAATCAGAATTCAACCCATAATTATTTTATCCTGAATTGTGAAAACAAAAAAAGCAGTGCTTATAGTGTAACATACACCAGTTTAAGTAAGATTAAGTCTTTAATTATTTAGCACTCTGCCGCTACTTGAACCTGATTCAAAGTCATTTCCTTTACCAATACTCTAATTATGTTCTCCTTTTGATCTGCAGGACTGTGTGCAATTAAACCAGTACAAGCTGCAGAGCGAAATAGGCAAGGTACGTACTGGGGCTCATGTTGGTCACACCAGCCTGTTTCACACTCATGCGCAGGGGTCAAAGGCTGCACCAGCCCAAGGGATCTTCCTGACCAAGTCTCCTTGCAAGTTGTGTTTGGTTTAGGGGTTTTGTATTCGGGGCTTTTTTTCCTTGTGAGATTGAGTAAGTTTCGTTCAAGGTCACAGTGGAGTTACTTCCTTTGAAATCTAAATATATTTTKCTTCCCTCAGAAGGTGGTTAAGCTGGCTCCCTTCCAGGGTGTTTGTTTGCCAAATGAAACATTAACAACCTTTGATGCATTAATACAACACAATAAGGAAAACTAAAAAACAAAAGAAAACCAAGTAAGATGTTTGGTCCCCATCAGACTAGTTGAAGTTTTCATGTCATGTGAAATGCTTGTTTAACTCCAGTGCACTTTTAAAAGCKGCACAATAATTCAGAAGAGATTTCTCTAAAGTTGTTTGGAGATCTGGGCTGGTGACCTGCTCAGACACCTGCACATTTGGCCTTTTGCCACCGCTGCACATGGGCCCACGAGCAGTGCTGCTGTCTGGAAGCGTGCCTGCCTCTGCAGTTGGAACACTGCAGTCCAGGGGGGCTGCACTCTGAGCTGCAGACCTTCACCAGAAGTTTCATTAGCCCAAATGCCTCCAAAACAAGCGGCCCCAGGCTGAGGGATGGCACCCCACCATCTGTGCCATGGGTTGCACATTTGGCTGCTGGCAGGCGGGGAGTAGGGCTGGAAGTACCACTGCTGKCAGGGCAGATGCCATCCCAAACTCACACACAGCTCCAGACCCACTTAGGACTTTTGTATGATTTTAGCAGAGATTTAAGACCTTCTCTCTGGTGGATTTGTCCCTGCCTCCTTCCCTGTGGGTTACAGCGAGCAGAGGGGCACTGTGAGGTTGGTAGAGGGTATGCTGGACCTGGTGTGTTTCTGGATCAGCCAGATCGCTCATGGGTTTCCTCTGACCTTATTTCAACTCTCAGTGAATTCAAGAGAAGTGTTTTGAAGGCTCTAATGTTCATCCCACTCATTTATTGAGCAGGCATCTGGCAGGGGCGATACTTGGTCATGGTGTCATGTCTCACTTGTTTAAAACCAGTGTTTACATGGAACTGTGAAAAAACAGCAGTTTGGATGGAGCTTGGCTTCAGGCTGTCCCTGGAGCTGTGGTTACAGCAGCAGTCCAGGTCTGCATCTGCCTGGGCCACACGTGGGTGGTGGAAGGCAGGTCATCACYGAAATCCATTTGCTGACAAGAGGCAGATTTTCATTGTGATGAAAATTGTCTTGTGCAGGAATACAGGAAAGGTGTCCGTCCAGAATTTCCAAATTTACACCAAAAAATCTGCTTGCAAATTATTCTGTCTGCTCCCCACCCATGTTTGGGTTCAACAGACACAATGGCTTTAGCTCAGGGCAGGAGGTGATGRGCTAACACTCAGCTCCTCCAGACACTGATATTGCTCCAGTGCCCCATTGATCCAACAGAGCTGTCAGAATGTACAGCCTTGCTGCGGGGTCACAGCACCTGCACGCTGCCCAGGGCTCAGCATGGCCTGGGGCCTTGGAGTTGTTTTTGGTGGTCTACCAACCTGGAGCAGGGAGAAGATGAGGTGAAGCTACTGAACTTACCGTGCAATTCCTGTTTATTTTTAGGGTTCCTATGGCGTTGTGAAACTGGCCTACAACGAGAATGACGACAAGTATTATGTAAGTGTGCCTCTCCTCTGCTCCTCTTGGCTGCTGCTGCTCACCCCCTGCGAGCTGGGTGCTCTCTACCTGGCTGCTTTCAGCATGTGTACTCCTGATTTTGGTGGCTTGCAAGGCGCTGAAGCTCCCGCTGGGCACGGAGCCGCTGCGCGGGAGGGGACCGGCTGCGTGCCTTATGTAACAGGCAGGCTGCAGAAGCGTGTGGCTGATTTGCCTTGGCATTTTCTAGCTATGAAGCAGGTCACCTGAAATTAGAGGCATGTGGGTGGTGGTATTCAGCACCTGCTGTGCCTGGGAAGCCTGGCCTGGAATGAGCAGGCGTGTTTTGTAAGGGAATGGGGGCGTTTCTCAGAAAAATGCTGAACGGCGTGGTCTGGCTGGTCAGTGCTGGGCTCCCTGCATTTTATCCCTTCGGGGGATGTTGGGGGCACTGAAAGAGGCCTCACTGACATGAGGTGTATGAGGTGCAGGATGCAAGGCAGAAGGCAAATMTTGGGTTTTAACAAAGCYAGAGTYRGAGAATTTCATATTCCAAGAGGCTGCTCATGCTGAAGGCTCTTGCTTTGTGCCTCCTCTTTCAGAGGCAGGTGAATCCCAACCATCCCAGCTGGGATTCCTGTGAAATCTGCCTGCAGATGTGCTCATGTCCCCGGGCTTGCCCTGTGGCTTGTTTAGCTCAGGCTGAGAGCAGGAGCTGGAAGGAAGTAAAACTGCCTTGCTATGTGTGGCTGTGCCTAGAGGCTTCTGGAAAGAGCTTCCAGCAGTTCCTGATGTATGCCATGGTGGGAATGTGCTGAGCAGAGCTGTGTGGTTGCAGTGCTGTTGAACCTGAGCCCAACACAGCCCTGACAGAGCTGCATTTGGTGAGGGAGTCTGGCTGTGGTCCTGCTGTGGAGTGGCCTCAGGTGGGTGACAATGGGCCCAGCAGTGCACCCAGGCAGTCTCTGTGCTACTCCCTGGCCCTGCTGGCCTTGGGACAAAGCACAATAAGTATATATTGTGGAATGTAAAGCATTCTCATTCCCCACTTTTCCCCAGCTACTTTTTCCTCCCTTACTTTTGGATTTACCTGTGGCACCCAAGGTTGAAAGAGTCAGGTGGGAATTGTAAGCCWGTGGGTATTCCTTAGCCCTTTTGCACTGCCAGCCAGCATGAAACTGCAGCAGGAATGTCTTGAAATGAAGGATGGAAGAGATGAGACAAAAATCTGGACAAGGTGCCCTGGAGCTGGCCAAGGAAAGGATCCACAATTCTTTCCATCTCCTGTTCTTTCCAAGCTGACTCACAGCTGCACCAGAGCTGTTTCCAAAGGYTCCCTTTCTCTGCTGCCCTCCAAATCCTCCCTGCCATGCCCTGCAGCAGGATGGTTTGTTCTGCAGAGAGTGATGGTGCCAGCCCTGGCTTCCCTGATCCATCTGTCCCACCAGAACAGGCATTCCAGGGCCACTAGCACAGAATGGGAATGCATTGCATCCATAAATCATGTTTMTTTCCAGCTGAAAGTATTTTTCCTTTGAAAATTGTAATCCTTACATTTTGACACTGCCCTTTTGTTCAGAGAATCCCATTGAGCTGTCCAGGGTGGGCAGGGCAGCTGTCACAGCTCAGCAGGAGAGAGCTGGGTTTAGGACAGCATTGCCTGCTTCGTTCCTGTCCCTGTTTGGGGTGCAGATTAACTCCATGGATGTAGATTTARCTGGTTACATCAAAACCAAAAGTGAAAGCCTGTGTGCAGGTGAGCCTGGTGTGTGTTAGTTAATCCCCACTTAATCTCGGTTTCTAATCTAAGCAAACACTTTAAAGGTGCTGCACCAGGGAGGGGCTCCGTGYCTGGGAGCTGTGTGAGCTGGGCAGGGCATGCAGACCCCTGGGCACCAGCACTGCAGGGGTGTGCTCTTGGCTTTGCCACACTGTTCTTTTGGGGTTGAGCTGGGTCCCAGCTGGGTTCCTGGGGCTGTGCAGGTGATGCTGGGGGGTGTGGAGCGATGGGAGCAGGGCAGAGCCTGCTGTGTGTGCCTGTGGTGTGTGTGAGAGGAGCAGCTGCGCTGCTACACAAGGCTGAGCTCTGTGTCCCATGRCCTTGTTCCCCTCTGGGCTGGGGCAGGGGGAGCTGTCCCCTTCCCCAGCTGCTGTCACACGCCTGGCACCCCTGGTGTGTGTTTTCCAGGAGGGCAAGCCGTGATGGGGACACCTCCGCTTTTCCAAGACATTAAACCAGCTCGGGAGCTGGCAGGCTTTGTGAAGCTGCAGGGAAACAGTGCCAATTGCATAACTGGCTCATGGCTGCTGAGCTCCTCACCTGCCTGCAGTGCCTGACCCTCGTGCTCTACCAGAGCTGACACAGCTTCCATCCTGCCCTGCTTATCCTCCCCAGCCTGGGCTGGTCAGCAGTAATGCCTCTTACCAGCAGTTAACAGAAGTAATTGTGATTCTAATAGTTGTGAAGGTCCTTTGCTGTGTATTTGTTTCTCCCCAAATGTAGCTCTGGAGGCTCAGTGAGGAAAAGCAGTAAGAGGTAGCTGGAGGGAATCAGCCCTTGGTTGGCCTTTAGTGAGCAAGGCCAGGTTGGACAGGGTGTGGAGCACTCTGATCTAGTGGAAGGTGTCCTTGCCCATGGCAGGGAGCTGGAATTGATGATCTTTGAAGTCCCTTCCAACCCAAACCATTCTGTGATATGCTGGTTCTATAACTGATTTACATTTGCAGTGGTTTAGCAGGAGGGCAGGGTGTTGCAGCCTTCTTTACTGTCTTTAAGCAGGTGTTCTGCAAAAACAAGGACCAACATTGTAAAGAAAGCAGGAAAACATTTATTTTTTGGTATTATTTAGAATGTGGGTMCTGATTCTTGCTGAGATGTGGGAAACTTTGCTAGCTCCCTTCAAAGAGGCAGAATTTGTAGGTACAAGAACTGAATATAGCTCCTGTCAAAGCAAAAGGAATTATTGCTGCTGCTTTAATGAGTTTGGATCTGGCCTAGAACTAGGAAAACCACTTAAGAAAAAAATTCAATCTCCACATTTGGGAAGAAATGTAGATAAGTTGTGTTTACTTTGTGGGKTTTTCACCTTCCATTAAAGATGAGAGTGCTTCTAAGAGCTTTGCTCTTGGTTGCTGTGAGCACCTGCAGTGCCTGAGAGGGCTGTAAAAGTGTGCTGGCTCACACCAGGGGATGCAGGGAATGTGTTACACCATGGAAACTGGAATTCCAGTACCAGGGATGTGCCCCAGTGCTCCCTCCAGGGAGGACACCCCACTGGAAAGCAGAGCTGGCTGCCAGAGCAGGGGACCCTGCTGCTCCTGAGGCACAYGGAGCTGTTGCAGCAGCTTCTGAGGGGCTCTGCCAAGGAGCGCTTTGCACTGGAAAGGTTTCAGTGTCTCACTTTGAAGGAGATTCTTTGAYGGTGACTAGGGGAAAAAAACAAAGCCAAGTTCTGTGAAAAAAGCAGCAAATAAAAAAGCAAAGGCAAAATGTGCCCAGGCAGAGATCTAGATTGGAGTCATTGTGCTGATGGAATTTGATTCTTTGATGCCTCAGGTCATGTCTTCCTCCTATTTTCAATCTCTAAATCAGCTTGCAAAGAGAAGTGGTGATGATGGGCATTTGTTATGCTACTGATGGAATAAGGCAATAGTGTTTAGCTTGTCAGTGGATTTTTCTTTTTTTTTTTATTCTCTTTCTTTAATCTTGTTTCCTAAGAAACAAGATTTGTGTGATTGTGCTCTCTGCCTCTGTTTGTACCTAACAACCTTTGCATGGAGAGCTGTTTCCTACCAAGTCTCAGGCACGGGGAGAAATTCCTTCCAAGTTTCTGAAAGCAGTGGCTGAACAAAGGGCTGCTGCTGAGAAGGTGGCCAGCACAAGCCTTGAACTTTGCAGCCCCTGGAGAACCCACTCTGGTCGCCATCCAGGCGGGAAGGGAAGGCACAGCTCCTGCATTTCTCAGCCTCTTGCTCACATAACAGCTGCTGAACCTCTGCCAGCTCTGCAGTGCTGAGGAGCAGGGAAGTGATCTCTGGCTGGCTCTAGCACCCCGTGCTSCAGGGCTATGGGCTGATGAGATGAGGGGCTGGGCCACCCAGGGGGAGAGCAGGATCCTCGGGAGGGCATCCTGGCTGCAGTGACACAGGCGGTGATGGAACTCTGCTGATGGGACAAAAGGTGACAAATGCAGGGGCAGGATTTTAAGGCTGTTGGCAGCTTAGTCTGTCTGGTTTAGGATTTTCCTTCAGTTCATAGCACTCCTCTCTCCCAGCAGAGCTTCCCTCTCAGCCACTTTGTCTGAGGGATGTWATTGTCAGGCAAGAGAGGTGAGGAGGGGCTGGAAACACTCTGGTCTGTTCAGCATTCCCAGTGTGCCCTCAAGCACAGGGGGGTTAGTGGGGACCTCTGAGCAGCATCCCACTCCCCTGGGAGCTGCAGGCATTGACTCTTCACGGGCTTTTGCCTTTGCAGCACAAGTCTCTCCCTTAGCAAATGTGCATTCTCAGTGCTGTGAGAGCATCACAAAGGACAGGTGATGAGTTCCTTTGGCTCCAACACTCTGTCACCCTTCCCTCCCAAAACTAATGGCCATTTTGCAGTTGTCATTACCCCCAGCTTGTGGTCTCGCTGTTGTGAAAGCTGCTGTGTCCCGGCATTCCTGCTCTACATGAGTCGGGGATCTCCTTTCCCTCAGGCAGCTTCCCTGTGGTTCCCAGCTGTAAGGCTGATAGRAATGGAGCAGTAAACTTAGATAATAAACACACGTCAGAGAAAAGCACATGGTTCCTGCTGCTTCTCAAAAGGAAATGTCAAGACCYGTGTCCACGTGTGAATAGTTGGGAGGAGGATGTGTGGAGGAAATCTCCAGGCTCCCTTTTTTCCTGAGGAGGCTGGAACAACACTTGAGCCTGTGCAAAGGGAAAATCCCTCAGCTTGGCTCTGAGCTGGTTCTTTATCAGAAAGGCATTATCTGGGTAATTAGCTCTGCCTGTGAGTACAAATGTCTTTGGCTCTGGAGTGCGTGTGAGCCTGGAAGGAGAGGTTTGCTGGAGCATCCCGGAGATACTCCCATTACAGCAGCCACAGTTGAGGAGAAAGCCTGGTCCTGCCAGCACGCTGTAATTAAAGTGAGGCTTCACAACCACGTGCCCTCCTYGGTGCTCTTGTGACAATTAAGTGGCTCTGCTCTGCAGCACGATGAACTTTGCTTTTCGTCCCTGTTTGTCAGCACAGTGGGACCCATCCTCTCTTCTGCCATCACAGATTCTGGTGATTCAAAGCTGGTGTAGGCACATCCTGGTGCTTCTTCCCCAGCAGTGGTGGTGGTTTGCAGTCAACCCACCTATGATGCAGTAACCTCCRCTGCCACTCAAGTGTCCTTCAAGGAGTTTGGGTGACAGCAATAGCTTCTGTTCCTCCCTTTCTGTCCCTGAGARCAATTCTCATCTTAGCTATTGTTCCTCTCTGTTCCTCCCTGCTCCCTCCAGCCTCTCCTGGGAAGGACTGTCCTGATGTGGGCACAGCTGGTGGAAAYAGCTCAGTTCCTCAGGCTGAGGTTCCCAAGCACTGATGCAGCTTGGGAGCTTTCAGCAGCAAATTGCATCTTCTATTTTTTCCTTTTTCTAAAGCTCCTTGCCAGAAGGCAGCAAGGACTCRAGATGGGATTGGAGCAAGAGGAGCCTTCTCCTCCTGGGTTGGCAGTGGTTGAAGGAGAAATGGATGCACCGATTCCTTTGATGTTTCTCATAAATTTTCATTATGGAGAGATAAAAGTGGGGAGCGTAGGAAGTCCTCCAGGCTTGGTCCTGGCCGTATTTGGAGGTGGTTGTGCACTTCTTGGATCCTCTTTCAGCAGACCATGAGTCATTTGGCTGCCTCTGTTGGACACAGAGCTGTGCTAAGGCAAAGATAAGCACTTCTGAGTCTGTCTCTCTAAACCATGCTTTCCAACAGTTGGTTTGGAGCTGTCAGGCAGGATTGAGATGCAGCAGTGTCTTCTCAGTTACACGGGTGCAAATCCAGAGGATTTCACTGGGTCAGTGCCAAAAACAGCAATCCATGAACCTGGCTGCAGCGGGAGCACTGATGGCAGATGGGGATGCTGGGGCATGTGGTRCCATCGTTGCCAGGAAAATCAGCTTGGGAAAGAGCTCACTGGAATGGGTTTGGTGACCTGTTCCTGGCATTTATAAACAGTTATAAACAGGTAGAGTGCAGAGAGCCTGCCTGGGTAGTATTAATGCAAAATTCCTGGCATTTGGCTGTGTCCTGCAGGACTCCTTGGTTAGWTAGATTGTGTAGGGATCACTCCAGGGTGAATTACATATTGGATGCTTTATTAATAGGAGTAACTGCTTAGGCTGGGGGATGGAGTGAGTGACCATCCCAGCTCCTGCAAGCACAGACTGTTTTCCTAAGCAAATTGTACCATGAGCTGGTTTCTCATTAAATACTCATCTGCTGGGCCACTCAGGGGGTTTGAGTGGCCCTCCAAAAGGTTATTAATGCACAGAGCAGATGGAGGCACAGAGACTGTTTATTAAATTCAGATTGCCTTTTGCCACTGGATGGCAGGAAAAATTACCCTGATCTCCTCCCACCCCTCAGCTGCCTGAGTTCAGTTTGCTTCCTACACCCCCTGACAAGACAAAACATAAGGTGGAACAGCCTTGAAGTGGCTCTGATCTGGAGCATGGCCATAACATCATCCAAAACAGTGGGTCAGCTAGAGGAACCCACCTCTGCCCTCAAGTTGCTGCCCCAAATAAGGAAAATGGGCTTCTTTTTCCAGTTGAAAATAATTTTTCAACAGGGGAAAATTAATGGAACAAATGGTTAGCAGTGGTTTTAGCAAAGCCTAAGGGGTCAGTGTCTATCTATTGTGGCCACCACTAATCAGGACCCTTCTCTGGGCTGAGGAGCAGCCCTGGGCCAGGTCCCTGAGGCCCAGGTCACTCCCAGGTGACAGCAATCAGCTCTTCAGCTCTTGTTCAGGTCTAACACTGCTTTTTCTTCTTCCTCCAGGCTATGAAAGTCCTCTCCAAAAAGAAGCTCTTGAAACAGTATGGATTTCCACGTGGGTATCTCACATTTGGAGATCTGCCTGTTGTGCTAAGCCAGATCTCTCTGTAGGAACACTGTCTGCAAGGAGTGCAGAACTTGGYCTGCTGTGAAGCTGCCCATGTAGTTGGGAGCTGGTTAAAATGCAATGGGTGGGGAGGGGGCAGATACAGCCGCGGGGAAATTCAACACACTCGATAATTAGACTTCTGGCTCTGATTTTTGTGAGTCTCTTTGAAGTGGTGACTCTTCCATGTTCACAATTTATGAAGCCTGATTAAACACTGAAAGCTAGGCAGGGCAGTTCCCCTCCTTTTTTGAGGAGGAACCTTCTACACCTGGGACAGCTCCTGGCTCCAGTGGCCAGGTCATGGGATGCCCCAGACCCCTCTGGAAAGCTGGGAGCCACTGATCTGAGTGGGGCTTGGAGATCTCAGCTCCAGGTGGGAGGCTGCAGTGCTCGGGGATGAGGACAAGGTGATGAGATGCTCCAGAGCAGCTGAGATGTTTGCACAGGGGCCGAGGCTGCTCACCCTGTGTGCAGGTGCTGCTGCCACCTGAGGAATTTTTCACTGTGCTGTCATCCTGCAGGTCGGCCTCCTCCCAGAGGCTCCAAAGCATCCTCCGGAGAGCAGTCCAAGCCCATGGCACCCCTGGACAGAATCTATCAGGAAATAGCCATCCTAAAGAAGCTGGACCATGTCAATATTGTTAAGCTGATAGAGGTGAGCTGCTCCTCCACCCTAAGTTATGCTGAAACAAGCATGGTTTGTATGGCAGTRAGAGGATCTTTCTTCAACTGCTCCTACTTCAGCCAGAATTGCTTTAAAATAAATGTTCAGAAATTTAGGCTGGTGATTCCAAGAAAAGTCATACTGATTGCGTAGGACAAACTGCAGACTCACACCAGGCTCTGGGCTGGTGCCCARGAGAAGGCAGCTCTTGGTGCTGGGAGAAATAGCAGTGAGCTTTGAATACTGAAACCTGTGTGCAGACAAGCCTGGGAAGGTGCACAAGTGCAAGGCTTGGTGCCATTTTCATTATTGACTGAGGCCAGGCTAGGACAAGCAGTGCCTTTATTGGTAGGCTGTTTCTCCAAATACAGGCAGAAGCCCAGATTTTTCTGGAGACAGGAAAATCTGTGTCCTTCAAAACCCCACTCTCTGCAGGACTCTCTAAATATTAGCCTGAGYTGTCCTCGGTGTTCTGCAGCTCAGCACAGTGTACTGGGAGTGGTACTTGGTTAAAAATCTCTTTTTTCCCTACTGTTTTTCACTTTTTCCRCTTTCCCCTTATTTCTCTGTTATCTCTCAGGTCCTCGATGATCCTGCAGAGGACAACTTGTACATGGGTATGTGAGTCTCATATGCTAACAGAACCATCTGGGTTTAGGCCTGGTGATGCAAGTGACACGTGCCAGGACTCGGGGTCAATACGGGGGGAAACTTGTTCCACCCTGCAGCAGCCTTATTCTTTTCTGCCAAGTTAAAATGCCTGTAAATGCAGCTGGGATGGAAAGGCCCCATGCAGTAGGGTAAGGCAATCTTGTGTCAGTACAGCTGTGCACATCTCTTTGCCATGGGGACACCCAAAAAGACCTGGCAGCTGCTCTGCCCTCCCCTCTCCAAGGCTGGTTCCAGCCCCAGAGCCAGGAGGGAAGGGTGCAGGATGGTTTCCTTGTCCTCCTGGTGTAAGACTTCTGGAGGCTGTGGATCGTAGTAGTGACCCCAGAGACACTCCAATGTGCTATGGGAGTGTTTTCTGTGACCCCTGCAGGGACACTGACCACCCTGCCGAGCCTCAGGACCTCCTGAGGGAGCAGCACTCCTGCCTTTGGTGGGGTGCTCCCAAGGGAGGCTGTGCTTGGCTGGGTGTTCATGCAGAGGGCGAGGGAATTCCRCCCATTTTGTCTTGCCCTCTCTCAAACCCTGAAAGTGCCAGCCACAGCCTAATCCCGTTTGGGTAAAATGTTGAGGGACAGGCCTAGGAGGCCCTGAGGTACCCTGTGAGATGGGCCAGAGGAGGGGATGGCTGACCTTTTACATTTCTGCTTCCCTGAACTGTTTCCTGATGAGGCAGGTTCAAAGGCTGCTTCTCATGAAATAATTATGGGATACTTTTGAAGCTGCTGTGACGGAGGGCTCTGCCTAGCAAATGAAGCAATTTGCCTTTGAAAGGCCACTTTTCCCTTTGGGCTGAAGCCCCAGTGGCATCTGGCAGCATCTCAAAGTGATGGCACTCATGGTGGGGAGGAGTTGTTTGAAGGCCTCAACTCCTGGGGATGGAGGAAAGGGGAGAGATGAGGTAGAAATCTGCAGAGGGAAAAAAAAACCCCAAACCTAATCCAAGCTCTCTGGAGTGAGAGAACCGTCCCAGCAATGGCAGCAGGACAGGTGGGGAATCTCTTGGTCCCACTGGGGGTTGTGCTGTTCCCTGCATGACAAGCAGTGGCCGTGTCCCAGTTGTCCCTGTGCCATCACCCCTTTCCTCTGTTGGGATCCTGTGAGTAGTTCAGGCACATCAGGCTCCAGCCCCTGCAGTTCCCTTGGCAGAAGGAGCAGCTGTGGATGCTGAACCTCCTGCAGGTGGGTTTGYTCCCTTCTGCTGCTGAGCCAGCTGATGAGAACTGCACCTTTCTCCTTCCAAAAACACCCCCCATGGCCAAGCAGACCTGAGGTGGTGTTTGCTCTTTGCCTGTGRTCAGAGATCAGGCCCTGCTGCGAGCACTTGGCTGTGTGGGCACTGGGAAGGGATTGGGGTGGGATGTCAGCAGGCACTGAGCAACCCCCAGAGGTACAGGGTAGTTGAATAATGAAATGCTGCCCCAAGCTGCAGCTTCTTCAGCCTGGAGGACAAGAGGAGCCAATTCAGGCTGCCCTGTTGTGTTTGTACCTTCAGAAGGTCCCACACCCCTGGTGCTTTGGGGAGAGGATCTGCTCAGGTATCTTGGGAGGTGTAAGAAATCCCCATGTAATTCATGGCAAAATGCTCTCCTGCCCTAGATAAAACCAGATCCTTTTCCTGTGTGCGGAATAGGGCAGATCTGGATCAGAAAAACTTTCCCCCAACCCCCTAACCAGACACACAAACTCATGTGCTCTGCAAACCTCAGCTCACACCAGCAAATCCTCTCCAGTCGCTCCTGCTGGGGAGTGTTTGGCTCTGACAGAGCCRTAGCTGTGCTGCTGATTGACACAGCAGAAATGGAGCAGCATGTTCTTACAGCATCTCCTTGGCTATCAGCAATTTAGCAGCAATATCACACCAAACACCCTCCCTTGGAGGTACAGCGGGGCTCAAATCAGCGCAGGCTGACACCACGAGCAGCAGCACTGTGGTTGATAAATTAGCACCCGCTGTCTCCCTGTACGGAGCTGGCGGGAGGGGGGATATTTGTGCTGAAGAGATGAGTATTTTCATTTTGCATCCTCTGGTGTCCTTGTCATGGGTGAGGGAAGAGAAATGAGTGGAAATAAATTGATTTTGCAGGTATGGGAATGGATGTGTTTTTGTAGGTGATGAATAACAAATAAGCCYGGTCTGCTCTTCTCATTCATTCATGGTTTATTTCCTTTTCTTGCAGTGTTTGACCTCATGAGGAAAGGGTAAGTAGCCCACCTGGGATCCCTTCTGTTGAAAGTTTTYGTGTTCATCCTTATCTTCCCATGTGAAATGGAGGTTTGATATGCCCAGTGGGGCAAACCCTGTCTGCAGGAGAGGCCAAACCCAGCTGTAGCTGCCTTTGCTGATGTGGTGAATAGAAATGGGCTGGGAGGACATGTCCTGGTGCCACACTCAGATCTGGAAAACAAATTTTATGCCAATTCCTTACCAGGTGTCTGGAAGAAAAGGTCTGAWTAGGAATATTCTGTTGGGTTCCAGCCACATCAGGGCTGCCTGTTGCATCAAGRTTTACTCACCCCCAGCTGCATTATTTTGCCCCAGCACCAGCCTCTCATGGGAGGCTGTTCCGTTGGCACCTTTTTTGTACATAGTTGAGGAAGGGGTGAGGTGGAGGAAGGCTCCTCGCTGCTCTTTGCTGATTCTGCAGCTCTGCAGAGTCACAGTGAGGCCATGATTGCTGTGCCCAGCATGGATGAGATTCCTAAAGGGCTGATTTTTGCCTCTGGCCCCATGAACAAGCTGCCAGCTCCAGTGGGTTGCTGGCAAGAGGCTCCCCGGTCTCCCTGGTGATCAGGCTGGTCCCTATCCTGGAGGAGAGGGAGCTCCTGTAAACAGCTGAGGCCAGGGAACCTGTGTCTCATCCAAGGGCAGCCTGGCTGCCTCTGGCAGGAGGCAATTAGACTCCATTAGCGGCTCTGCCAGTCCYGCTCTCACATTATTTCTCCCTGGTTTCAGCAACAGAAAAATGTGCATGAAAGAGGGAGGGAAGGCAGTGGCAGGAAATGCAAATGGGAGATGAAGGTCATCAATCAAATGGGCAGCAAGGGAGAAGAGGGAAATGCTGCAGGAAGGATTTGCTGCTGGGTGCTGAGGGGASGAGCCACAGAGCCTGGTTTGGGCAATGAGCTGTTCTCTGTCAGGGTTTGGCTTGGCAGGATGGTGTCCCAGGAGCACTCACTCCAGTCCAGCTCCAGTCAGTGGATGTGTGTCCAAATGCAAAGCCAAGCTGCTGAGCAAGACACGATTAGCCCCCAGGGCAGTGAGGTTCCTTGCTGCTGCCATTCATGCATGGAGGAGCAGCAGATTCTGACCAGCTCTTACAACCTCTTTGCCCTCAGCTTTCAGCAGGCACAGGCACAAGAGGGGCTTTTAGAAAAGTGGCAGCATTCAGAGCAATGCACAGAGAAGCTGACCAGGTAACCTTGGCTGCTCAGGGCTGAATGGCTGAGCTTTGTGGTGGCTGAATCCTGAGCAGCTACAGAGCTTTTCAAAGCAGCTTAACACAGTGGAAAATACAGAAATATTCCCATTTCACCTTTGAGCCAGTGGTTCATGTCAAAGTTCTGCCTCAGAGTAGACCAGCTGCACACTGATCTTGCACCAGGACTGAGCCCTAGCAGGCAGGACGTGAGTGCACAGCAATGGGCATTGTCCCCACTGCTGCCTGGCATCTCTTGGGAGCACTGGTGCTCCCAGCCATGAGCAGCCTTAGCAGGTAGCCAAAGGCCAGGTCCAGCTTTGTTCTTCTCCTATGAGGACTCTCAGGGAGAGAGAGTGTTTGCCTTATTCTGTGCAGACATCAGCAGTTAATGCTGCTGMTGATGAAGGCTCTGTGGCTCATGCTGGCTCAGGGACTATGCAAAGCCATGCATCACCACATCCAGAAAGGATGGACACGCCTCCAGGCTGTGTCACAGCACCCAGAGCCTTTGGGAGCCTGGCCCTCAGTGCTGGGACACAKTGATGTAGAACACATTCCTCCAGCAAGGGGTGTGACTGCCCTCCTGCARTCACTGAGCTGCTGTCCCTCCTCCCCACAGGCCTGTCATGGAGGTGCCCAGCGAGCAGCCCTTCAGCGAGGAGCAGGCTCGGCTCTACTTCCGTGACATCGTCCTGGGCATCGAGTACTGTGAGTACCCCAGCACGGGCAGTGCTCTGCAGAGCGTGTGCCTTGGCTCCCTGCACAGCTGGGGAGGAGCATCTCAGCTCTGGGGGGCTGTTGGATGAGCCAGAGGGGTCCCCTTGGATGACCTGTGACAGGGTTGCTGTTGGAGGTGGTCCCGCTCAGGTCGGGTTTTGCCAGGAAGTGTCACAGAACCCTTGGGAAGGGCATTGGGGAAACAGTGCCTCCCGTTTTTTTCCGTGTATCTCTTTTTGCAGACAGTGTTGGAAGACAATGGCAGAGCCAGAAAATGGGTGTTTGCCGTGTCATGGAGTGAGTCAGTCAGTCAGCTTCAGCAGGAGCTATTCCCACCTTGCAGGTCTGATTGTTTTCCAGAGGAGACAGCAAATATGTAGACAAGCTGATCCTGTTATTACCTTGTGCTTTGATTGCCAAACAGCTTTTGGTCAGATCTGTTGACAACAGCTCATAAAACAGCTCCTTTTTAAAGCCTCTTAGGTTGGATGGGCTCCTGTAGATTAATAACTGGACAATCAGGAAAGTTGGAACACAGCTTTCACAATGGAGAAAAGTCACTAGTAGGGTTAAACAGGAATCCRTAATGTGGGCTGGGTTTTTCAATATATTCCTAAATGTCCATAAGAAGGGTAGAGGACAATAAGAGAGATTGGTGATGGCACAGAGTTATTCAGGATAGTTGTTGTTAAAACTGWCTGGGAAGACTGGCAGGAAAATGCCATGAGAGCAAGTGATGGCATGATAAAAWGACAGATAAAAAATTCATGTTGCTGACTGCAGGATAATGCATGAGGGGGAGAAACAACAATAAAATACATACAATGCAATGGGCTCAAAATTACCTCTTCTCACTCAGGCTATCTTCTGGATAGTTCTCTTGAAAATGCCAGCCCATTACTTAGTGGCATCCAACAAGACTAACAAGATTTGGGGACTTAGTTGGAATGAAAGAAAGAAGAAAGCAGAAAATGTTATTATGCTATTATTTGGATCTCTAAGAGCTCTGAGGTACAGACAAGGAGTATCCTGAATATTATGTGCAACTTGGCTCAGCTTAGAAACAGCTCCCTAGAACTGAGGCCCAAGGAGGATGATCAGGATGGTCCTGGAGTATCTGATGTACAGAGACATGACCAAAGCTCTTAAGACTGGAAAAGTATCTTGGGGAGGGGTGCTCTGGCAGAGGCTTATAAAATCCTAAGTGTCAGGGAAATGCTGGACAGGAAATGAATCTTTTCCATCTCTAAAAACACAAGAACTAAGGAATAGCAAACAAAAYAATGAGGTAGGCAGTTTAAACCAGAAGGAATTACTCACCTGGCTTCAGCCACCGAGAGAGAACAAGTCTCTGAGCATGATGGGCGCTGCCGAGGCAGAGGAGGGTGGTCTGCAGGGTCTTAGTCCCTTTCCATATTGAAATGCAGCACCACCTCACTTCTTGTCTAAAACCAGCAGGGAATAAAATCAGTGTTTGCAAGTCTGACAGTCCAGAAGCTTCCAGATGCTGCCAAAATTAGTCAGGTCACCCCAGAATGTTGGTAGAAGTGAATATATGAATGGGAACCTCCAGACTGTCTTCGAGTAGAGCTTGAAAAGTGAAGACACTTTTATATTCCCACTAGCATTCAGATTGCAGCAGAGCCTGTGTGCCTCAGCTGGGAGATCCAGGTTCTGCTGTGCTGGGTGCTGCTGCAGGAACAGTTCCTGCTCAGTGGAAACTTTGAGTTTAGTAGATAGCGGAAAAAAAACCAAAAAAACCCAAAATAAAGTGTGGGTAGTCTTAAGCAGARGGAGTGAAATTCAACAATAAATCATAGGATGCCCAAGCACCCCCAGCAACAAGAACAATAGACAATAGGATGCTTTATTTTGGACCATTGAGTAACCACTTATTTTATTAGCAAATGAAAGTTAAAAATGGTATTCTCTCTGAACTGCTGGGTAAATGCATAGCAATTATTATATAATTAAGAGGAAAAGTGCACCATTTGTGCATACTGAAAGAAAAGTGTTGCCAGGCAATGCAGAGATTGCAAGGTAATTTTAATGTAAGCATCCATAATTGTTGTGTAATTTGGGAGGCTCAATAACCATGCAGCTGCTTGAAGCTCGCAGTCATCACAGCAGCAAATGCATCATTGTTGGATGGTTGTTAGGTTAGAAGTTGCAAACTGGATTCCTGTCAGAGCCTGAAAGGTTTTAGGTGAGCAGGAAAGGGTTGCAGGAGCCAAGGTGGTGGKAGATGTGGGCTGACCTTTCAAATCACTGCTGGTGGCACATGGTCCATGGCCACTGTGTCTGTGGGGACTGGAGTCACTGGTTTTTCATGGAGTTTGCCTGGGCTGGAGGCCTCCTGCAAGAGGAATGGCTGTGGGAGAAGGCTGGAGGGAGGCAGTGGTCCAGGTGAGACCAGGTGARAGGGTGGGAAACCTGGCTTAGGCATGGTGGGAGGCAGGAACAGGGCCCTGGAGAGAGCCAGGAGYTCCCTGGGGCAGGCAAGGGCACGCTGCTGTCCCCTGCTTTTGGCTGGGTTTCTGGCTTTGGCGTGTTTGATACCAGGGGCACACTTTGTTACAAGCACAGTCCAAGCCTTGTTCCCTGAGCAGTGAAGGAACAAGCTCAGGGTCTGAGAGTCAGGGACATCTGCCCATGGTCGATTGTCCCTTCCTCTGACCTCTGAAATGCTGGGAATGTATTTAAAGTGTGGTGACATTACTGATTTAGGAGTTCTGTTTCAGTGCATCTGTCTTTGGGCTGCCTCTGTGACATGGGCTGTGCTAGGAGTTGTTTAAGCACATGCAAACTTCTGTTGGGTTCCTGGTGGAACAAAGGAAAGTGATTTTGCTCCCACTTCCAGGACTTCCCCTGTACTGCTGGCCCCCTCAGGAGCTGGGCAGGCAGGCCAGGCTCTGTGATACTAAGCACCACTGGAGTGGTAATTCCAGAGCGTGCTTTGGATGGGAAATTTGCTGGATTATTTGTGTCATTAACTAAAGCATGTGCCGAAGCATCCCTGTGAATTAGAGATGTGCAATTGCCTCTCTTTCCACTTGTAACTCCCCTCTGGTAGTGCTTGTCTCAGTCTCTGTTTTAGTTTCTGTTTTAGTAAAGCAAACTTCAGTCTCTGTTTTAGTAAAGCAAACTTTGCTTCCCTAGAGATACTCAGCAGAAATGGGTGTGCTGGATAGGAAACAGTCATTAGGTTTCATTAGAATGCATGAGGGATATGCCAGGAGGTATCCCAGTTTGATTTTAGGAGTGGGCTCTCATTTAGTAAGAGCCTGAGTAAGGAACAAGCAGGAAGAGCTGTGTGAGCMGGAGCCTGGCTGTGACACTGGCCAGGAGCAGACACCCAGTGCAGGACACGCACACAAGTGTGACCCAGGGGAAAGCCCTGCTGACTTGCACAGTCCAGATGAAGTGCAGTGACTGTCCCTGCTGCTGTRGAGCTGCAAGCTCAGTATTCAAGTCACGAGAAGCTAAAACAGTTTCTGTCAGTGTGGCTGAAGAAGAAAAAACCTTATTTCCCTCATTCTCTGTAAGAGTCTGCAATTCCCCTCCTGTGACTGTGTCTAAGGGAGGGCAGTTATGGTCTCCCTTCGGCAGAGGAAGGTTTGTCCCCTCTGAGCTATGGGGTTGAAGGGAGGGTAATGACATGCAGCTGAAGCCATTGGGAAATGTCCTTTCCAGCAGCAGCTCCCTGCAGTGAGAGCTGCAGTGACCCAGGGCCCTGCACGCTCAGCCTGCAGCCTGAACCAAGGGGCTGGCTTTTCTGAGATAAGACTTTATCTGCTTGGTCATCAGTATGTGAATATAATTTCCATTATCTCTAAAGGAAATTTAAGCAAATAAACCAACAGCTGAGCCAACACAGGCTCGTGTCTTCGGAAGAATATCCACTGCAGGGTAAGCCCTGACTGGGTGTGCTGAAGGACCAGTGTTGTAAATGTTTTGATCTGGTTTGAGTTTTTGCAGAGGTGAGTTCCTCAGGTTGGTGTGGGTCAGCAGAGCTGGGACACRGGTCTGTGGTGGAGCTACTCTGTGCTCTATTGTGATTCCCAGCTTGCTCCCATGTGGGAAATGGAGACCTGCCTGCTCTACTCCTGCCTGTACAAGTTTGGAGCTCCTCAAACAGAGCATGTTGAGATGAGAGCTACAGCTGCAAGGTGATAAATGYTATAAATGGCACCACCAGGAGAAGAGAGGCTGGCTTGTGTTTTATCACGTGCAGACAAGCTCTCCGTAGATGATAAAAACCAAACAAAAAACCCTTTCATGAGCTGCAAGCGTTGCTGATACTGATCGATAAGGACTTTGTACAAGCRTGAGAGTAATTAGCTGATGGAGCAGATCAGAGAGATGTGCTGGAGCCTCTTAAGAAAATCAGGCAGTTTGACTTTTGTTGTTTGATGCAGTTCTGTGACTGTGCTGGCGTCAGAAGCAGCCCCTGGCACAGCCTGTGGAGGTTGTTTGGTCAGTGCCTGCTGCCCTGGTTCCCTGTGTTCYCTGGGACAGTGCTCTSTGTGTGTAGCCCTGGCAGGGGGCTCTGCATGGCCCCTGTCTGGTGATACAGGATRGGCACTGTGGGCTGCAGGGCAGCTGCAGGACAGCCTTTGGCAGGGRTACTGCTCTCTCTTCCCCGGTTCTTCTGCCAGCAGTACCCACCCTTCCACATCTGCCAGGAGCTCAGGGCTCAGCCAGGTGCTGAAGGTGGAGAGGAAAGCTGAGCTACCCCAAAGGGCTGGGTGCTGCTGAGGGTGTGAGAYCCCCTTTGCAAAACCTGGGCTTAAGCAACTTACCCAAGTGGCAGAGGCTTGATGGATGCAGCCAAACAGCAGAGAGAGCTGAGAACSCCCGAGCTGGGATCCTCCCCACCCCCTGCAGTGAGCTGGGCACAGGATAGGGGTGCTAATTACTCTCCATCAGCTAATTACTCACTCTTGTTCCCCTTGCACAGCCCAGGACACCCCTGTCCTCAGCCTTCCTCAGCAGAGCACTGTGGATGAGGAGTCAGTTTGAGCTCTGGGTGRTGGTGCAGCAGTTTCCTTAGCAAGGTGTTAAATCATTTCTTTGCTACAGGGGGGATGTGAGAGTAATACTAAGCAGACTCTGCAGTAGCACCATATGGATTGCTTTTGTCCTTGAATGGGAATGGGATTCTGGGTTTAATCAAGCAGGATTCAGCACTGGCCTCAGTAAATAGCTGGATGTGTCAGTGCATTGCAAGGTTTTATATGTATAATTTTTAAATAAGCTTTTAGCAAGTTTGTGTTGACCTGTTGGAGCTCCAGGGTTTCAAGAGGAGAATGCAGTGAAAAGCATCTTTTCTAAAAGGACTAAGGAACAACATCTCTTTCTGGCACTTGTGTTTCTGCTGCTCTGGGTCTTCACTCCCTGTTAGTGGATTTGTTGRCAGACAGTTCCCAGGCATTTGCCTCTGAGTGAAARGGAAAGCTTGTTTAGTCCTGGGATAGCCTGTGGAATCAGGAAATRAGGAGTGTTTGTGAAACAGCTGTTYTGTGCCACCGAAGGCAGCTGAGGGGCTGAACAGACAGGAATGAAGTGCTCAGCAGGGCTTTGCTAAGGAGCAGTGATGGAGCAGGGGGGCAAAGGCAGAGCAGTGGAGACCCATACAGAAGCCAGCAGGCCCAGCAGAAGAGAACCTCCCCAAAATCTGCCCCTTTTTCCAGCCCCATCTACCTGACCATGGCTGGCTGCCATTAGAGCTCAATTCAAACACATTGCAGTGAAGAAGCAGACAATCCCTAAAAAGCCAGATTATCAGGGACACCTTTTATTTTGGGTAGTTGTTTCATATGGGATTGAATTTGAACGCCCAAGTGCAGGTTTGTGCCAGCTGCAGCCTGCTAGAGCTCTGATATCAAGAGGGAAAGAGGAAGATGGTCTGTTCCCAAGGRCTGCTAACACCCTGAGAGCTCTGAWTYCTCCTTTGAGGTTGYAKCTCCACAGCTTCAGCCTYCAGCAGGCTGTCCTTGGGCTCCATGCCCAAGTTCAGGAGGCAGACCAGACTTTTAGGCATCATTCCCTTRTTTCTGAGCACAATGGAGCTCTAGGGCTGAACTAAGTCCAACTTCACATATCCCTGGTCAGGCTTTCTAACACAAATTGTGATAAAATGTAGTACACAGACACTCGGCTGCCCTTCTGCTTTGTTCATGGGCTGGCTGTGAGGATTAACAAACAAGTATTTCTATCACATTTGAGATCTTTGCCTGGATGATGCTCTAGGAATCCATGGGATTGTTATCCAGATGCATGCAGGCCTGAAAYAGTGTTACCTTTCCACTGAAATGAAGAATGGCTCTCATAAAACCAAATTTAACAGAGCACTGCATAATCAGGCTTTGTCCTAAGGGCTCTGTGAYATCTTACGTGGTTTCATTTTCATTATGAAGAAATATCAGTCTGTGCTCTGCATCAGGTCTGTCACCACAGAAAGTGCAGGGTGTTTTGGATTCCAGGGAAGTCATTCCAGTGAGCTGCTGATCTCTGCTCCTAGAGCAAAACCCTTTCCAKGTAAAAGCAACATGTGGAGTCATTTTGTCAGCTTGGCAAAGCAGCTTCAGCAAAGTGCTCTGCTTGGGCAGCTCAGCATCGATTTTCATTTGGGAGAGGTGCAGACAATTGCATCTGTATGGCAGTCAGTGTGTTTTGTTTTTCAGCTGTTGGTGTGGCCCTGTGCACAGCCTGGGAAGGGAGCACCAATGGGATGGTCCTTCCCAAGGACAACCATTGCCTCCAAGCAGACTTGGGGATGGTTTTGGGGGAATGTTTTCCCCTGTATTGTGCTGAGCTGTATCAGTGCTTAGGCACAGCACAGGAGAGGATAAGCCTGTGCATTTTGAAGCCTGAAGCCCATTTTGGAAAGTTGTGCTGGGCAGGATGCCCAGAGCAAAGGCAGGCTGGGACATTGAGTTGTGTTTCTTCAGAGCAGAGCAGGGATTTCAGGTTGCCTTCATCAAGTTAGCAGGCTCCACAACAGATCATTTCTTGGCAGATGTGGCACTTGCTCTTTTGGTTTTTACAGCTGTGGTGTTCATTTATACTCCCTGGTGCTCAGTGCACATCTCCAGTCCCTTGTCCTTTTTCCTTCATGGCTGCTGCCTCTGCACAAGGGGTAGGGAAGGAGGTTTGCAGACACCAGAAGTCCTKTCAGCCAGCTGACAGGACACTTTCACAGACTGTGGGTGGGACACTGCTCCCTCCCCTCTGCATCTGTCCCCTGCCCATCCCAGTTTTATTATTTCAGTTGGATGCCAGGTGTTCAGAAGCATTTGGGATGTGGCATTCCAGAGGCCAGGCTCACTCCTGGGCTCAGTTCCTTCTCAGCCCTGCAGGCACTTGTGCTGAGTTTCTCCTCTGAGCACCCGARGTCAGACTGTCACTGTCCTAATCACATGTGGATATTCTGGCCTTGGAAACTCAAATATTCATTGGCCAAATGAGCCATTGGTTGATGGCTTTGATGCTTGCAAWGGATGTGTTTTTCTTTGTTTCTGTGTCCAGCAGCCAGCAGTGCCCAGACCTGAGCAAACACAGGGCAGCTGGAAGACTGCCCACAGTGTTCCTTGACTCCCATTAGATGGTGTAGAGGCAGGGAGTGTGTTTTACASAATACTCAGTTATATGATAGAGAAAATGGTTTGTGGTTTTATTTTGTTTGGGTTCTTTTACTTTCCTATAAGGAAGAAATAATTAAAAACCTGGAGTGCCTGCTTGCCTTAATTTTCACAGACCTAGCTCCAGGGAWGTACTCACATGGTCTGTGTTTGTTTTGAGTTTTTTTAGAGGCTTTGGGAATCTTAGCCTTGTGGTAGGAGGCCTGACACCAGACACCTGCCTGAAAGGCAGCTCAGCATCTCTTGGAGGAAAACTTCACTCCCCCCTCACTCTTCTTTGCTCTCCCTATATTACCATWATGAAATGTCAGCTTGCCACCAGCTCTGCTGCAGAGCAGATGTCTCCTCCTAATTACTGTTGTTGCAGGGTTTCAGTGTTTATCCTGACTCTAGGCAGGCTGTTGCAGCTTTAACTGCCTCCCATCACAGCCTGGCCACGCAGTTGTTGCACATCTGGAGCAGGATGTAAGTACTGCTGCCCTCCAGCGAGTTTTTGTCTGCTGGATCTCCAGAGCAGYTCTTTGGTGTGCCAAGGACATCCCCCAGCAGTGCTTTAAACTGAGGAGAGGGCCTTGCAGAAAAAATACCTGCAAGTGTGACTTCCCCTGCCCAAGCGTGGCCTGCTGGAAAATTAGCTGGAAAAGTGCAGAAAGTTAAATGAAGTTTATTCATTCTCGGTCCTAAAGCACAAACTGGGATGCTGCACAGGGCAGGCTGCCTTTGTGGCAGTGTGTTGGTAAGGTTTGTAAAGCAGGAAAAGGGTTAGACCAGCATTTTCCTCCACCCAACGTGTATTTCCTAGGAGATATGGAAAGTGCTCATGGGGAGGTATAAAAACAAACATRCTCTGTTTGCAAGAAGGAAATGTGAAAACAGTGGTTAGAGTCAGGGGAGGAGGGAGGCCAGAGGGTCCTGGTCCTCTGGGAAGCACAAGATTAGAGGATTTCCTCCTTTTCCTTCAGCGAAGTCTCCTGGTTTTTCTGCAGTTCTGCTTTTKGGGTCATTTTATGTTCTGAAAGTTGGGCTTTTTTTTAATTTGTCAAGTTCTCCAAGTTCCTGAGAAATCAGCCACTTCCCTACAACTCCCTGCTTCACTCAGTGGCCTGGAAATGTCTTTCAACTGCAATATTGCACAAGGGGGGTGGTTTTGGTTGTTTTCAGTGCATCTCAGCCTCCGAGATCTTTSCAAAGGTTTGTTTCATTTTTGTTGTACAAGCACTTAAGCTGTGCCCACGGTTGGCCTCATGGTGCTGAGACAGAGCTGGAGTCTTTGCTGGAGCCTCGTGGAGCCAAGGGCAGGTGCAGGAGTGGTGGGAATGGCTTGGAGCTCTGTGCCATGGTGGGGTTTGGGGTGATGCAGAGCAAGCTCAGATTGTTTCTCTCATTGTGGACTCCCATTTGGAAGCCTGGCTGTATAAAGGGTGCCTCTTTGGGATGCTGACACCAGCCAGCTGCTGATTGCTCCAAGCTTGGAGCTCCATTATTCCATCTTGTGAGCTGGAAATGCCCASTGATTTCTGAGCTGTTGACACTCASCTGCTCATCACCTGTTTGATTCTGCCTGTGGTTCTGCCCCTTTTGATGAGTTTCACAGCRCTGCTGTTTCAAAATAAATGAATTGGAAGTGAACCTCTTTATTTGGGTCCCATAAACCTTTAATACAGCAAGTGGCCCAACCCATCAGCTGGTCTGATGAGGCCAAGCTGATTTGTGTGTTTTCCCTCTCCAGGAGCATTGCTTGTTCCCACTGCTGAAGCTTTCCCTGAGTTCATGTCTGTTCTTTGCATGATTCCCAGATGTATTTCTGAGAGMTGTGTCCCAGTGAGGCACCAAAAAGGAATGGCTGTAGGAAATGGCCTTCTGCTCCCTTATATCCCATCTCCAGCAGCAGCTGGGAGCAGGGTGCCTGAGCTTGCACCTGTATTTTCMCCCTCCTGGAAGGGTTTCCCCTGGGTGTGTTGGTAGCCGTGGCAGACCGTGYTCCTGTTCTTGGCTGTTTTTCAGTGCACTACCAGAAGATCATCCACCGGGACATCAAGCCTTCCAACTTGCTCTTAGGAGATGATGGGCACGTCAAAATTGCTGATTTTGGTGTCAGCAATCAGTTTGAAGGGAACGATGCCCAGCTTTCCAGCACGGCAGGGACACCAGCCTTCATGGCACCGGAGGCCATCTCACAGACTGGCAAGAGTTTCAGTGGAAAGGTAGGTCTTGGCTTGGCTGGTGCCTCCTGGGTCCCCTAGGCACGTCACAAAGGCCAATGCCACCCCTGCATCCTAAGTGTGCTGCAAATTAGGGTTATTCAATAAAACTGAAGCTCCAGTTCTGTCCAGTCTGGGCAGAACTCACCTTGGTGGTTCTGTGCAGTGGTCAGATGTTTTGCTGTGGATCCCTGCCCATGCATAAGCCATGCTAGAGCCCTTTCCCTGCCCAAAGGGACTGCCTTCCAAAACAGGGGACTGCTGAGCACCAATCTCTTGATTCTCTGGAAGCGAGAGGCACTGCCAAGGGTGGTGATGCAGACATGGAGATGGGGTCTAATGGGGAGTTTTTCAAACAAAAAACTTTCGAAGTTCAGGCCTGCATGGTGTAATTTTCTGTAAGAAGGGGCTGCTTGCTGGTCACAGCAGGGCAGGGGCTGGCCCAGCACAGCCCTCACTCCTCAGCTRTGCTGCAGGTGCCCTTAGGAGCCCWACATCAAAGTGACACAGAAAATGTTAAAACCATACAAACAGTAATGTTCTCTGAATGGGTGGGGAAATCCAGCTGGYACAGACCATGTGTGTTGCATCTCCTTTACTGCCGTTGGTGTTCTCTTCCAGGCTCTGGACGTGTGGGCCATGGGAATCACCCTGTACTGCTTTGTTTACGGGAAGGTAAGCTGCMTTTCAGCTGCTGGAGCCCTGCACTGCCTGTCTGCCTGGCTTTTGACTCATTCCTTTCCAAATAAAGGCAAATATTAGAGACCAAGACCTGCCTTYTGCAAGCTCCCAAATCGCCCTGGGATCAGACGGGSCTGATGCTATGATCTGTGGGAAGGATTGGTTGCAGTGCTGGTCCCTGGGCAGAGCCATTGTTTGTGCTGCAAACCYAGGGCAGCATCAGCAGCACCACCAGCAGTTTGTGGGGGGGTTACTCATGTTGCCCACATTTAGAAATGAGGCAGAGGATTGATCCCAAACTGCTGCAGCACTTTAGCAAACCTGATTACAGTAAGCTCTGTCTGCCAAAGCTGAGTTAGGACTGATGGGGGGTCCAGTTTGGCAGAGGCAGCTCTTCAGTGCTGCCTTCTGCACACTCAGTTCCTGTCATGGGTCTTCCCTCCCCCGTGACCAAAACCCCCATGTCCCACCGGTGTTCTCCCAGCATGAGCAGCCCAGCAGGTGTGTGCAGCTTCTGTGGGTGGGAATGTTACCTGAACCTCCAAGCACACCACACTGCAGATCCCACCTCACAGACACCAGGCTTCCAGCTCTGGGGTAAGAATGGCCAGGRAAGGTGGCAGAGGCCGTTCATGGTCACCTGGCAGGCTGGATGAAGGAGGGTATTCCAGTCCAGCTATGTATTCCCTAGAATCCCTTTGCTGTTCTTCTGAATTTTTTTTAATAAGGAATGAATCGATATATTGTGTGTGGGGAGATTTTATTTATTTCCATTTCGGYGTAAAATCTGAGGAGTGCAGAAGGTGTACTTGTGTTACACGAATGACAAATGCCTGAGTGGTGCCAGGGTCTTGGGCAACTGGAAAATCTCGTTTGTTTTACAGTGCCCTTTTATAGATGAATATATTCTGGGTCTTCATAACAGGATCAAGACCAAGCCTGTGGAGTTCCCAGAAGAGTGAGTAAACTTTACTCTGCTACTGTAAAATGAAGTTCAGTTTTCAGCATTATTCTCTGCATGGCACAAATGCCAGTGGGTCACCAYGGAGGGATGGACAGGGATGGGTGARGTGCTCCTGGGTCCTTCCTGTGGGTTTTGTGCTGATGATGTTGTTGAGGCACCTTTGCTCTTCCTCTGTCCATGCAGTGCAGACAGGGACTAAAGGAAATGGCTTTTTGGAAGTGAAGGGATTCTGGGGTCTAGGAAGTTCTGCCCCAGCTGCTTGACCCTGGAGATGCTGGATGCATGGTTTGGGTGGGGTTTTGTGTTTCTCCCCATGCAGCAGCCCCCAGAATGATTCAATGTATTCATTTAAAAAGCAGTGTGGTTACAGACCTCAGTCTTGGTCAAAGTAAACACATCCCTCTCCTGTGGACTTCCCTTGGAGCCAGAACTGTCTGATGGAARGATGCTTGTCCTGAGATGTGCAGCCATAGGTCAGCGAATACCCCTCCTCTGCCTTCTCTAGCACACCCCAGGAAAACATGGATTTGTGTTTTGTGCTGGCAGAGAGGGGCTAATTGTGAAAAAAAAACAGGAATTAATTTACCTGTGTGTTATTGAGGGGCTGCTCCCACCCTGCTTTGTGAAGGAAAGCCCTGTGGGGCACGGTGGGAGTGCTGGGATGGTCGGGTGGGATGCCTGGTTGGGTCACAGCGTGTGCTCAGCATTGCAGGGGACCAGCCAAGGCCACCCAGGTGCTGTTTGAGCAGTGCAAGTTCAGTACTGAGGTGATGGTTGTGGTGAGTCTGGCAGGACGTGATGKCACCCCTCGTGTGTTCASTGGTCACTCAATGGTCACTSTTCCTGTAGCTTCAAGTGTTGGCCACTCCTCAGTATTTCCTCCAGCTTCAGGCTTTTGGTGTCTTTCTGTTGGAGATGAATTTGTTTCCCCTGGTTGCTGTCAGATGAAGTAGYCAGAGCTGGATTCTTTGTTTGCCTTCCCAAATCTGTGCAGTTGTCAGGCAAAGATGTCTTGACCTAATTGCTCATTCTAATAAAAATRTATAGATAAAATGACTTGATTAAAAGCAAGCACAAAGAAATTAAAACTGATGGAAGGCACACGTGGYGGTAGAGAGGAAGGGAGGAATGTTCCCAGGCAGCCTGTGATGTGTGCATGTGTCCAATCCATGGCAAGGCAAGACTTTTTTGTGAGACATTTGCTGATTTTTCACTTTACAGTGAACAACTGGGCCTCTGCCTTGGCAGTCCCAGACTCCTTCTGATTCTGATTCCACAGAAAGCGATGGATACTCAGGATGCCCTATTTTAGCCAACTGCCTCAGCTGGGCTACATTAATTACCTGCATTAATGAGGAGACACGGGCACTGTGGACAGCTCTGCTTTCTCAGCCCCGGTGGAGCCACACAGCCCTTGTGGAGCTCCAGGGAGCTGGGCTCAGGCCACACACAGAGCCCAGCGTGGATATGGAGCAATTCTAGCAGGACCAGATGAGCAGGCTTGAGGCTTTAGGAGCACAAAGACTGCTCGTGCTCCACCGCTGTGTCYCCACCTGCAGCTGGAACAGGACTTTGTCTTGACAGCACTGTAGCCAAAAAATCCCCAGACCTGTTTATGTCTCCTAGGCAGTTTTCTCCCTTGCTCAGGGCTGGCAAAACTCCCACCCTTCCCTCAGCCACTTTGTATTTGGGTTAGCAGTCAGCTTACAAGTGACTGTTCCCATCTGCCTCTGCAGTGATTTATTAACATTTAATGGGCTAACTGGGTTGTGCTGGGATCCTTTCCTTCATTCAGGCATTTCCTTCAGCGATAATTGGGCTGCATGATTTATGTGGATTCCTCAGCGACCTGCTCTCCCAGTCTAAGAAAAGCTGCACCCTGATTAGGTTGTTGGAGGAGCTGAGGGTTACTGGGTGTTGACAGCTGTCCAAACCACATCTATTTGTTAGAGGCAGCGACAGAGACATGGAATTCACTGGAGTGGATCCACCCTGACCTCCTGCACAATTAGCACCTCTCTATAGCRAGGAGTATTTTGGTTTCAATTTATTTCACCATGGCTACAAAAGACACATTCCTGTTTGCAGACAGCCCATGGAAACTCATTGCCTGTTTCCTGACAACCTCTAGGGCAGATGGATCTGACTGTACCAGCGTCACCATCCCGTCCCTTCCCTTAGAGACGCYGGGATAAATATTTATGGCAYTGGAGTTCTCATTCATGTCCTTGGYATGACACGAGGTAAATGGGCTTAGCTCACACCCTGAGGATCCTGGCAGGACTGAAAAGCAGGCTGGAGATGTTTCTGTTCAAACAAGTGTTAGGAGAGTCAGAAGCTCTGCCTCATCTCTCGTGGTGAAGTCCAGGACAACATTCCCTGACCTGCGGGAACCCTGTAATGTGATCTGTGGTGCTGGCAGCTGTCCCAAATGGATGCTGAGCTCTGTGCTTGGCATTTTCCTCAGAGTTCTTACAGGACTGTGACAAATCCCAGACAGCACAGGCTTTTCAGAGGAAAAACGCCATCAGGCACAGCATGCARGCACTGTGCTGCAGATTGGAAAGGAAACCAGAGACGGGGTGATGTGATCTGTTACCTGGCCATAACCCACCTGACACTTGGTGATGCTGCTTATGGGGCTTTTCCCCACAACTTTAATCCTGTATTATGCAAAAATCAATCTGGTGCCCGGAAATATTATGTGATTTTATATTCTATTTGTCACATTTTAAGTAAAGCTGTTGACACTTTGGCACAGAACTGATGTTAAAGRTTTTTAAAATGCCATCTCACCTCCATCAGTGGGGTGTCTGGAGGGAATCTGTTTATTCTGACCTKCTAAATGCAGTCACTGCCCATGGCTGTTCCTCTGGAGCTCATCYCAACAGCAGCAGCATTCTTTCCCTTCCCACGGAAATTGTCACCCAAGCCTCTGAGGACACATCTGCTCTTCCCCTTGCCTGGGCTGCATTGCCTATATACAGCAGACCCTTGATACAACTCTGTGTTGAGACTTTAAACTGAACCCYCTTTCTGCCTCTGAGCAAGCAGTGTTTTTGTGTGGTTGTTTGTAAAGATCTCACAGCCAAAGTCCAAATAAAATATTCATGAATTATTAAACAGCAGCTCTGTTTTCATCAGACTGAAATATCCCTTGCTGTGATGTGGTTTTCATTTTGGTTTTTGTGATAGTTTATTCCCTTCTCTGCTTGAGGAGGGGGTGTGCAGAGGAGGTGAGCACCTGGTGCTCACCACTGTTTTCAGCCTCAAATCCAACCTTCCTGGGGAGTGACATTTTATGCTGCCAAGTTCCATCTCCGTGCAGAAACACSGTTCTTCCAGAGTCATTTGTGACACAGACTTTCAACTGCCTAATACAGTTAAATCACATGCTGGCATTTTACTGCAACAGCATTTTGATCATCCAGATCTAGTGTGTTTTAAAGGCATCTCCTGCATCACAAACCACAGGAGTCATTGCAGCCTTTGGGCTGCCAGGACCAAGGGCTCCATGTCGATAAGAGTGGCTTCTGGGTTCAGGCATTCTCACATTTAGATCTTGGAAATAATSTTAAAAATTTAGATGTATTTCTCTTATTTGTGTTTGTTCATTCCCTCTTTTTGTTACCCCAAAGCTGATCTTTGCAGGTAGGGAATTCCAAGTTACAGGCTGGCTGCAATCAATGTTCTGGAAGCAATTTAAATAACACAACCTGAAAGCTTGGCTGGGACCTTGAATGTGGGATGAGGGCTTTCACCCAGCACACAGTGGCTCATGGTGTGCATGGTGCAGGTTCAGCAAATCAAGCTGTGCCACTTTTGATTCACTGAGCTCAACTCCACTTCTGCTCTMAGGAGCACTTTGTTGTTCCAGAATGTACCCTCAGAAATTCCCCTGTGATGTGCTGTCTTTAAGAATGTCCTTAGACCCATTCAGCTGATCCCTCATCCTGCAGTCTGAGTGTGTGCTGTTGTTAGTGGGCAGAACAGAATAACCAAACCCTTGGCAGTGATTGGGATGCTTTCCTTTTCCAAGCCAGGTTTGCAGAGAAAATACCTCCTGAGCAGAGCAGATTCTCTGCCAAGTAACTGCAGAACTGTGCATTGCTGCRCTTACAATTCCCTTGTTAACCATGTGCTGCTGTTTTCTTCACTCAGAGCACAGATAAGTGACGAGCTCAAGGAACTGATCCTGCGCATGCTTGATAAAAATCCAGAAACAAGGATAACAGTCCCTGAAATTAAGGTAATTTGAACTTTGATATTAGAGATTTTAGTTTCAGCTGGTTTTGTGTTCCTGTGGTACCTTCCAATGAGGCAGAGCTGCTCCCTGTGTTTGTTTTGGGAGCTCTCCCTGGCACCCTCCCTCGGAAAGGGGGAGCGCTCACTTTGCAGCCACAGCTCTGCCGCTGCTTCTTGCTTAGGGAATATTGACAAAAGCTTTCTTGTTTACTTATTTAAATGAAAGTTTCTCAAAAGCTGGCTGATCTCAGTGAATCCCTGGGAGAATCAACATTGTCAGGGGAGCTKCTGGCTGCAGAGCCTGTGCTGGCAGTGTTGGATGTGTCCTAGGGGCTGGATGTGTTTCTCCTCTGGTACTTGTGTGGTCAGTGGCCTCAAGGCAGCACATTTGTTTCCATCACCATTATTTGGGAGATATTTAATAATAGAAAGAATGAACAAGCCTGGTAGAGCGCAATGCTTCACAGGCTGTTTCATTCTGTCTTTGTGTGGGCTTGCTGTCCTCCTGTCACCCCTCACCGAGGCCTCAGACCTGCTGGAGGATCTCAGATTTTCCAGACAGATCCATCAGCATGCTCTACAGGGCAGGCAGCTCTGCTTTGCTTTGTCCCAGGTCAACACCAGTATTGCCACCAAAGCTGACAGTAGAAAGGTTGARCTTCATGGAAAAGTTGTGACATCCCTTCCCACCATACCCAGGAGGCCAAAGCCAGATTTGGAGCTGTATTTATGGGATTTCGCTTGACAGCTCTCTCTCACAGGCACCCTGTGGGTAGAAGAGCAGAGCTGAGTGCTGTCCCTTGTCCCTGGCTGTGCACAGAAGATGGTTGGTGTGCTTGGGGACTTGCCTGAGAGGCTGGCAGGGGACGTGTCACCAGTGCCAGGCTGGACTCTGTGCTCAGCCCTGCCCATGGACAGTACTTTCCTCCTGTCCACAGCCAATAAACCATCCCCTGAGAGGCAGCAGGAAAAGGGGGCTTTGCTCTGCTGCCTGTGAGAGAAAAAGGTGGAAATGCTCCGTAAAACTCAGGTTTTCAAAGTGTTTCAAACTTGATTCAGAGGGTGCCAAGGTGCCAGTCAGTGGCAGTGGGTGTGACAGCACCAGGCCAGACTGCAGCCATTTCCAAGGAAGCTGGTGAAACAGCAACTCTGGCAGTGGGAAATGGAGCAGTACTGGGTGCTCGCCCTGCAGTGAGCCCTGTGCCCCCGTTTCTGTGCCACCCCATTTGTGTGTGTCCCCCATGCAGGTGCACCCGTGGCTGAGCAGGGGCGGTGCGGAGCCGCTGCCTCTGGAGGAGGAGCACTGCTCCGTGGTGGAGGTCACCGAGGAGGAGGTCAAGAACTCCGTGAAGACCATCCCCAGCCTGCCAGCCGTGGTACGTGTGAAATCTACCACATCCTCTGAGCTGGTGCTGTGCTGAAGCCTTCAGCTGGTGGAGGAGGTTTGGAGAGRGGACACTGTGTTCCTGCATGAAATCTTGGCCTTTTGACACTGTGTGAACTTGTTGTGTCTGAGTGCTGCAGCAGCCTGGTCTCTGGAGCAGCTGCTCCCTGGGTTCCTTGGCTTCGTGCTCTTTGCTGTAGTGCTGTAAAATGTCAGCTGAATTATTAAAGAAGCTGTTGTTAGTCCTTTGAACTGGCTTTCGGGAGTCAGTCCTGTGCTCTGTTCTCTTCCTCAAAGATCCTGGTGAAGGCCATGCTGAGGAAACGCTCCTTTGGGAATCCCTTTGAGGTCCAGACGAGGCGGGAGGAGAGATCCATGTCTGCTCCAGGGAACCTGCTGATGTAGGTACCCACAGCCATGCCTGGCTCTGCAGCACGAGCAGGGCCAAGGTGTATGGGTAGGGAGGGTGGGGGAAGCAGTTTGTAAATCTTTTCTGTAGYGTTTAAAAACAAAACTCCCTTTTGCATCAAACACTGGAGATAAAATCTACCTCAAGTCCTCTCAGATTGAAATACAGAGTATTAATGCAGCCTAAAAACTTGTAGTTGCAGTTCTCTCTGTAACRTGAGTTTGGCCTAAACATGTGTAAGGTGCTGAACTTGAGTCTAGTTTTTCACCTGTTAGTTGATAATATGCTGTGATCAAAGACCCATTAGAGATTGGTGATCTAAGATCTTTTTAATTAGGGTCTAGTATAGCTGTATATTGAAGGGTTTCATTCTTCTCTCCTTTCTGTGAACAACAAAAATGGTACCAGATGAGCAGTTTATGTGGTTTTTAAACCCAAAATGAGATGGGGGATTTGACCTGTGATTTGGGGCCCAAGTCTAAGCAGAGACACCATGGGCAGAGAAAGGAGGACACTCTGAAATTGCTTTTTCACTTGAGAACACACACAGTACTTTTTCACACTGTTTTTTGTCACTTATGAAATAGTAGAACACATTGCAAGGGGTTATTTTGGAGGTTGGGTATAAATTACTATATTGGGATTAAAAAGGGAATAGAGATGTTGATGACTAATAGATTCATCAACAGTTTTTAACCATGATGGTGTYTACAGGGATGGGGAGAAAATTCTTCTGTCCTTTACTTGGTTCCTACTCTTTTCCCCTCATTTTTGCTACTGATTACTTTCAGAGCCAGGATTCTGAGCCGTCAGTCCAGTAAATAACAGCTGGATTATTAGCCTCATGTGGGACATTTATTTTTATATAAATAAAGTTGTGACCCCACAGGATCTATAAGGCTGTAGCTGACAGCAAGGGTGTGTTGTCCCAAAATGATTCTTTCCCACCCAAAATCCCAGTACCATTCCTAGCAGACTCCCACGAGGCTATGCTGAGTCTCACTGCACCACTGACAATGCAATTATAGGAGTCTCTCTGTCTCTCACAGGTGTGTGGGGATTTAAGGGCTCAGCTCAATTAAGGATGATGATGTTTTAGGTCCCAATTGTGTATTGGAGACTTCAGTGAGGATTTTACCTTGGAGTCCATGGCCAGACACCAGTTTAACATTTAAACTCCCTGTATATGAGTGCTGCTGTGGGGCACATCTGGAGCATGGCAGTCACAGCTCCTTTGCCAGCTTAGGGATTTGCCCTGATTTGTTTCCCTTGGCTCACTGCCTTCCAAATTAGTTACTGCTAATTGGACACATGTCGCTACCCATACCTTCACTGTCATTCCTTGTCACTGCATTGCACTGCTCTGAAATGGGGGAACATTTATTAAATTTGAAGAAAAATGTATTTTATTCTTCTCACTATACCAGGCAGGTAACTCAGAGCAAGGAAGGATTTCTTTTCAAACCCTACCTGAATTGTTATTTTGAGGTGGTCACCCTGAGCCTGTTTCCAAAAGGGATCTGTTCCCTTCCATCTTCATTTGAGATGCTTGAAAACTCACCCAGGTGGTGGGAAAACTCCTTGACCCTTGATGCTGGTTCCTGCCTGGAGCTGGGTGCTTTAGTATTTGCTCAGAAAAAAGAATTCATTTGATCTCAGGTGGCTGTGAAGCTTCTGATCAGCCACATTATCAATGTCTCGTCCTTTGTAAAATATTCTTAGGCCTTCAAGATGAGCTGTAAGCCTCCACTTTTGTCTCCTTTTTAAAGTCGCTAGTCAGATTCTTCTCAGCTCAGTCAAACCCAGCATCTTTCCCTATCTCAGCTCGTTCTGGCCCTGTGTTTTATTCAGGCTCCTTGTGCAGACTAAAAGGTTTATTTTTTAAAGCAGTAATTTCCACTGCTGTGCTGCTGCATCCAGTGCCCTTAGTTTACAAAAACGTGCCAGGCCAGGGATGGAGCTGCAGCCGTGCTGGGCTGGCCTCTGCCCAGTTGTGTGAGCACTTRGAAACATCCAAGATTAATGTGAATGGCCTTTGAATGCGCCAGTTCTCCACTGCACTAATCCCTGGGCTTAATTTCTCAGTGTCATGCCATCAGTGCCAATTTTTGGCWCTAACAATTGAATTTATCCTAAATTATTTCATGCACAACTGGAGCTTTGAAAACCCATCTCRAAACTGTTGTTTAAAAGAAAGATACTTGGCAAGTCTCTCAAAAAAAGGGTTTGTATATTAAACACTGCAGGAGGGATGCTCCTTTTAAGGCATATGGATTATTATTTCAAACTTTGGAAAATGCTTTACTGGCTGAATCTATGAAAATAACTTCAAGTTTAAATAGATGTGTTGGGTCTAATGACATTAATTTCAAGTGAACCGAGGCTAAATGGGAAATGTTCATTGTTCAGTGAGTTATCTCTTGATGACAGTGTTATTTCCACAGGGGCAAACAGAGGAGGCACYGAGCTCATCCACTTCTTAATTCATAGTGGGTTGTTCCCTAGGAAAAACACCCTTAAAACACATATAAAATCTAACATCAGTGCCAATGTTATGAATAGCATTAYACTTACTGTGTTAGTTAAAATAAATTTCAAGTGAGTCTGGATTGCTGTAAATTTTTAGGAYCCTGCAGGAGCAGATATTGCAGTAGTAAGGCTCTGCAGAGTTTCTGCATGTCCAGCACCCCCAGTARCTGGACAGGGGACCCCAGAAGGGGGACTTGGCAGAAAAGCACTGCCTGCAGCCATCACTCTGCTCTGGACACGTGGCTGCCCATGAGGAGCTGACAGAAAAATGATCCACATGTTCCCAAGCTCTCCATCACAGGGCTTCTCCTCCCCAGGGGCAGTGTCTTTACAGGGACATAAATCAGCTTTTGTAATATTGCATTTCCTTCTAGTTGTAGGTAGGAAATAACTTGTTGTGTTTTTACAGAAGAAAAAAAGGAAAGTAATTAGAATACTCCAGTTTCACATTCAGTTTATTTAATTAGGCTGCATGTGAAATTGCCAGAGYCCCACTTGCTGCTGTTTCAAGCATCTTACATCTGTGCCATTTCTGAGGWTATACTCTGTAGGAAATCCTCTGGCAGCTGAGCTGAGCTCTGGTACCAKAGCTTTTGCCTAATTGATGACTCTTTAAATGGAGCTGTCCTTCAAGCTCACTCTCTGGGATTTGGAGAGGGGGATACTAAATCATGTGGCTGAACCTTTTTTTAATTTCTCCTTGCATTACCTACACAATGTGCTGGGCTCTGTTCCTGRAAATGCTCAGTGCAGATGTCTGTGGTAGTAGGAGGGCTTTCCTGTTCTAGCCTGCTGCCTTTAGAGGACACCATTAAGACACCACTGATTTGAAACAGTTCTTACTRTTAGGAGGAGAGAAAGCTTTTTAACACTCTTTAGACCTGGAWTAAGCAAAATCCTCTCTTGGCTGTTATTTATTGCTCTGTTTATCAACACTGAGCAGTTTAAAAGGCAGATGTTCAGTRCAGGCACACTTAGCAGGTGAAGGGGAACTAAAATGCAGACGCCTCATTTAGCAGTCCTTGTTGTGCACACCTAGAATGGTGTGAGTGCTGCCAGCTGTCACCTCACCCTGTCAGCTGGGCAGTGGCGAGGTGTCCCTTTCAGGCAGGGTATCCCAGGAGAGGCAGTGATTCATGGAATCTTACAGATCCTGCAGACCATGGCCATGTTCAAGCCCAATGGCTGCAGAAGCAACTAATAATTTCTACTTTTCCAGCTCTAGGCTGCTGCTCTCATGTTTTTGGGGACTGCTCTTTTGGGGATCAGGCAAACTCACAGAAACTGAAATTACACAGTTTCTGTGTAGGACACACTGGGTTCTGGTAGAAACATTTTGTTTAACTGCCATTTATAGCAKGGCTTTGGAGAAGCAGTTATGGGATCAACCCATCATTGTGATCGTTATAAAAAAGTCAGGCTGAGCAGGATTTAAGCCTAGTTCAGAATTCACAGCTAACTGTTACAAATGGAGATGGGAGCTTACATAAATCCCTGCCTCTGCCCAGGCCTCTGTCAGAGGGCAGTAGCTTTGTTGGGACGGCCAGCACCCCAAAACCCATTCTCGTTCACAAGTTCTTTAATTATGGCCAATTAGATCTATTACAACATTAATTATTTATTTAATAGRCACACAATTAAGAGACATAAGACTTTAAACAGACTGCTTACTACACAGGAATAAAACAGAAGGAACTACTGTTAGATAAAATACAGCACCTGATAAAGGTGCCTATTGTTACAGCTAGCAAAGAAATAGTACAGATTAGCATCCAATGTCTCTGACCATCTGATTGCTGATGGGGCACACMTCAGAATCCTTTCCCTCAATTCCCAGGAAAGTAATCACAGAATTTGTGTCCAAACTCTGGGAAGAAGTCCTACACGTTTCTGGGGTGTAGGAGGCTTTTACCCCTGGGATGCTTCACGTGTCTTTTATAGTGTCAAACCGAGTCTTTGGTCACTGTTACTCATTTTCTTTCATCTCTTCCCATATCTGCTCTCCATACCAAGATGCTGGTTCTTGGTCAGACACCCCAGACTGTTGGGCACCAAGAGAGGAGCCCTTACTGAGCCTTTTGGCCCAGCCTGGGTTATCTCTTCCACATGCCAGGCATTTGTGAGAGAGAGAGAGGGGGGTGGGGGGAAGACATCCTGCCACACTAAGTTCTGTCCTGCCACACTAAGTTCTGGGTTTCTGGTAGCAGTGTTTGCTGCATTTCTTCTGCCTGCTCCACATTTCTCCTAATTGAATCTGCACTGGCTTCACCACATTTTATTGCTCTCATTTATTGCAACTACTACCTATCAAATTAATTGCTGTGTTTTGACAGACCCAATTTACTTTCCCATTATGGCTGCTATTACTATTGATGAAATGTGGCTGTCAGCTCCTCTGTGGGGGATCACTTGGCTTTTAAAAAGTCTACTCTGTTTCCCAAAAAGAGGCCAAAAGGGCTGTCATTGCTCTTAGGGCCATACCAACCATGTAGGTTAGGCATGAGGATGCCAAGGGGGAAAAGGAGGTAAAAAATGTGGCTGGCCCAGGTCTCGAAGCAGAAACAGCTCCTCCCAAAGAGAGAACTGCAGGTTTTGTAGGAAGAGCCATGCCACATGACCAGGTAGGTATCCTCACAGGACCAAGGCTGTGGCACAGGATTTTTCTCTGGACTGACCTGGCAGGTCCCTCCAGTGAGGGTACACTGCTCCTGTGGCTCTGCCCCATGGCACAAGGAACTGATAGGACACAAAGCCCAGAGATGCCAGATGACATAGCCCAGGGAGGCACAGTTGGACACCAGCAGTGTGCTGGAAGCCATCTGGAGCTCTCAGCAGTGGTAGGGGCTGGAGTGGGTTTGTACCAGTGCTTCCAGTGCCTGTCCTCATCTGTCCTCCAGGTAAATGTGGCTGATGTTCCATCCTCATTCCACTCTCCTCTCTAGGCTGGTTAGGCACAGAAGTACAAGCTACTTCAGCTGCTGCCATCATGTTCATCATCACTTTCTTCCTTTGTCTCATTGTTTTGCTCTCAGGGACAGATTCCTCTTAAACACGTCTGTAAATTTGCATCCATCTTTAAGGTAATCCCATGTCTGTGTTTCCCCTGGGTGCTGTAGAAACCTGTGTCCCCTCCTCAGCCTGTGTGATTTGTGTGCTAGTGAGAGCATTTGGTTCCATCCTTCCTTCCTGTAGGAACAGTTATACTGCAGTCATTGTGTGTGACACTAATGTTTATGTATGCTTTTTATTATTATTTCTATTTATGATTCTTTGGCATTTCAGCTGCTTTTAGGGTGGGAGGGATGAAAAAAGCCATTTGGGTGTTAGCAGGAACTGGTGCTTAGCCCCAWGTTTGTGGAGGGAATAGCTACAGAATTTGAGAAACGCTGAGCTTTGTAATTTGGGTTTATTATTTAGTAGTTATGCAGAAGAGAGCTGGAACCATCTCTGCCCCAGATGCTCCACCACTCCCTTGTGCTTCTGGTGCAGCACTGGGATGGCTCTGGGCAAAGTTGGTTGCTCCATGTGACCACCCCACCTCAGCCAGGACTTCTTCAAAACCTGGTCATTTGTCCAAGCACTTGCACAGACCATTCTAGGAAGTGCTGGTTCAGTTATATACGTTAAATAACAAAATAACATTAATGCAAAACACGATGAGCTCCATAGAAACATCTCAGTTTTGAAGTCCTAGGATGCAGGGGTTAGGCAGGACACAGCTCCCAGCCAGGCTGGGAAGATCTGGGCTGAGAGACTGGGAAACAACCACACATCTCTATCCTTGGGGAGCAGCTCCAGCACTCTGGAGACTCTGCCTGGCATGGCTTATTGCTCTGAGACAAACGGATGAGCCASAGCCAGGATGCCGCCTGCTCTGAGTGAGGAAGGACTCGCAGAGATTCTCCAAAAATAGCCAGGAGAAGGCAGGCGGAGGCGGCTGGGGACTGACGTGGCGCCGGCGGGGACAGCTGGTGCCACTGCCTCCTGCTGCTGCATTTTCCATGGAGGAAGGGACTTGAGCAGCCTGGATGAGGGCAGATTATTGCAAGGAATGGGGACTCAGTGGAGGAAGTAAGCACTTGCTAGGGGAGTGTGTGCTGTGTGGGGTGTCCCGTGCCATCCCTGCCTCATGCTCCTGCGTTTGGGAGGGYGGTGCTGGGAGGCTCATTCCTCACTGGACATGAAACACGTGGGAATCCTGAGTCGCTGCGACCCCCCCACAGCTGCTGTGGGTGACAGCCATGTGCTCTCCTGGTGATTGCACAGGTCAGGCTTTGCTCCCCTGTGTCTTAAAAAATGCAGGAGAAATACTCTTATTTCTCACCAAGAGTTATTTACTAGAGATCTCCTTGGAGCCTCATGCCTCACAGGATGAGCCTGGCTCCTGTGCAGATGTGGGGCTCTGGTCCTGGATGTCTGCTGCTCCTCGGGCAGCCCCAGCTTTTTGGATGATGTTTGCCCCCATGAGGGTGCTCTCACCTGACATGAGGTGCTCAGAGAGGCAGAGGCTGCTGCGGGTGGTGGGGCAGCATTGAAGACACCCCTGACARGGAACAGGAGCAGAATCAGCGGGGTGTGCCGACAGGGAGCTAGGCTGTGCCAAGCTGCCACGGAACAGTGCCTCTGCTGCTAAATGAGGTGATCAATCATTTGAAGAGGGGGATGACAGGCACTGGAGACAGGGCTGTTGATCAGCCTCCCCTGCAGGGAAATGGTTCATCGGTTCAAGGTCAGGATTATTGCAGGGCTTTGCTGAAGCGGAGGGAGAAGGGAACATGATTTTTGATCATTTCTGGTTTCTTCAATACTCAGGTTACACCTGTGTGTGCTTTGTGTTGTTCCCAGCCAGACAATACCCTCAGAGCCCCAAACCCACAGTCCCCAAAGGCTGTGTGCTCCAGGCACATGCAGGAGCACTGRCACTCCACTGCTGAGCTGGCTTGTCCACGCAGGTTCTATTCTCAGATTGCCCAGRGAAGCTGGGRCTGCCCCTCTCTGGAAGTGTCCAAGGCCAGGTTGGAGGGCTTGGACCAACCTGATTTAGTGGAAGGTGTCCCTGCCCATGGCAGAGGGTGGARCAGGAGCATCTTCAAGGTCTCCTTCCCAACCAGACCATTCCAAGATTCTGTGATACAGCCAKGCTGGTCCCTGGACACCCAGGAGACACAGCTGCTTGGAGATTATCACCTTGTTTGTGTTGTGGATTGCTTTATAATGGAGAAATGGCTGTTTTAGGTGAAGTCATCTGCCTGTGGTTGGTTTCTGCTGTGGGTGGCACCTGGAGGTGTCTGCTTTTCTCCATCCAGTCACTGTGACAGTCACAGGCTGGCTGGGGSTGGCTGGGCTGGATGGAGGTGTTGCTCCTCAAGGATGCCCTGGAGTGCAGTACAGCTCAAGTCTTCTACATGTGAAAACATCAGAAATCAGGAGTAGGAGGAAAGGGCTGAAGTTACTGTRGTGTATGTGCAATGCAAGTAAGTTACCTTGGCTGTAATTCTAGGGCTGCTGCTCTCAGGTTTTGGGGACTGCTCTTTTGGGGATCAGCCAAACGCACAGAAACTGAAATCACACAGTTTCTGTGTAGGACACACTGGGTTCTGGTAGAAACATTTTGTTTAACTGCCATTTATAGCATGGCTTYGRAGAAGCAATTGTGGGATCAACCCACCATTGTGATCGTTATAAAAAAGGCAGATTAAAGAAAAGCAAACCAGAAGTCTCCAAATGCAAACTAGATAATTTGGAAACTATGTTGCTGGTCTGCAAAACTTTCCCTAAGAACTAGATACCTCCTTGTGGAGAAGGGCATTCAGGGGAGGGGAGAGCTCAGTTTTTGGGAGCAAAGGCCAAGAAAGTTCCAGGCCCAGGCTGCACATCATTGCAGGGCATTGTGCTGCGACATTGCTGAAGTGTTTACCTGGTACCTGCACAACTGGCTGGGTCATTGCTATTCCCTGTTAACATTAATATTGCTGACCTGGGTTGGAAAAAGCACACCCTGTGCCTACAATGTCTTTATTTCCTTGCCACCCGTGTAGAACACAAGGGAGCAGAGAAGCAGCCAGGGACCCGGAGCTGCCCGACGTGTGCGAAGACGAGGCCGCGTCCTGAGCCCGCCCGGCTGCCGTGGGCTGGCCGCACGCGAGCTGTCGCCGTCGTGCCCATCGTGGTGTCGTGCAGCACATCACCCTCATCACCCAGCCCGGGGCCTGTTCAGCAAAACCAGAACCAGACAACACCCACCAGAAACGGACGGAGCCAGCGAGCCAGGCGGGAGGATCGGAGCAGCACCAGGGAGCAGAGCGAGCCCTGGGGCRGCGCGGCCGTGCCCCTCGGGCTGGGTGTCTGTGGCTCCTCCATGTGTGCCTTGCTCTCCACTTGTGCTTCACCTCGGGGCTCTGTTGGGGGTCTTGGCCGAGGAATGGGGGTTTGTCTCAAGGGTCCTTTTCCCCTGGAGACTTTTCCCTTGTGGTTTTGCGTTCTCTGTTTCAAGCATCAGGAAAGAAAAATGGTATCGGAGCCAGGTTTTATGTCAGAGRGCAACTGTTTAATTTAATGCACAGGTAAAGCACTTGTGTACATCAGGAGTCCTGYTCCTGGTGTGGAGTTGATGGCGAAATTTCTTTGGTTATCAGTTAAATAAGGATGAGATCTTGATGTTGGAGTGAACACTGTCCCTCCCTATGCCTTTCTTTCTCTTTTTTCCCTTCTCCCTTTATCCCTCAGTTCTGCACCGTGTCAGTCCTGTCCCCAGCATGGCTTTGGTCAGGGCAGTGCTGTAAAGCAGAGGAGTCACTCAGTATCCCCTGCATGTGCAATGAGCCTTGGAGTGTCACAGAGCTCTGGAGCATGGGGATATGCTGCTGCACACAACAGCTTAGTGCTCCAGGGAYATCTGCCAGGGCTTCTCTTCCTAAGGAGCTGGGAATGCACCCCATCAGCTGCACCCACTYCTGCACCCATGGACCTTGCTCTCCAGCTGAAAAGAGCGGCAGGCTTGGGGTTTATTTAATTTCATTTTCTTCTCTTCACTCATCTCTTGTGTACCTGATGCTTTTAAACTTTAATTTGCTGAAAATGACCCAAACTAGGAGAGATTCCTGGGCTGGAAAATGTTGGAGGGTTTTTAGAAAGCTACAGAGCACAAGTTCACAACTTGATCTTTTGAATTTTTTTTAAAGCTTTAATTTTTAATTTTATTTTAAGACAATAATTTTTATGCATGTGCTGATGCTGCTATTTTATCCATAGATTGCTTCTAAACTTGGGGTTAGAAGCTTCATCTCAACAGTTTGACAACAGGTGAGAGATTGCACTTAAAAAGGCAAATATAAAAAGGCACATACAGCCATTTCTGTGGCTGTTGACTGTACAAACTGTTTGGATAATCAAGAATTTCACTCTTCCATTCAGAGAGTGAAAACCAATGACATCCATCTGTCAAAATATGTCATAATTCTCCCTTGAGCTTTGTGGGGTCTGAACATGCCCCTGGGAAGCCAATGGGATTGGAATCTTATTTTATAGTACTTAAGAAAGGACATGATTAAATTTGGTTCCTACATAATCATCTTACTGTCTGTTTTTAGGTTAATCCTGAGGACTTGGGACTTTGTTCCCTCATTTTTTTGTGTGGGGGTCCACATGTACAAGGGTTGTTGGTAGTGACTGGTATATCCTGGTGTTCCTGTTCTCTTTGCTGCAATCTRATTTGGTGGTTCCCAACATTTCATAGCTGGGCTTCACTGTTGGTGCCTTTTGTCTGTCCCCAGCCTGTCACCTCCCCTCACTCATCCTCAGCCACCTYGGTGGGATGCCCAGCAGTCACCAGCCTGGGCTCTGCCTCGCATCTCACCTGTAAATATTGGCAAAATGGGAAATAACAYTGCAGCTGCTGCATTTAATGAAGGAGGCCTTTGATGTTGAAAGCTGGCAATGGTGTTGGATCCTGTAAAGGTTCCTGCTGTGGGCCTGAGCCCTGCACTGCTGCATTCAGGTGCTAAATCCTGCCTGTTTGTGTCTGCACCAGCTGTGAGCTCAGCATCCTCTGAGGAACCTGGTCCTGCACCAAGAGCATGCCCTGATCCATCCCCAGCCCAGGACATGGGACCTTCTGCTTGGATCCTGCTGCCTTGTAATGAAGATTTAAGTTCCCAGAGATGGAGTGAAAAGTCTGAGAGCACAGGGGATTCTGCCAATGGAAAAGACTGTTCAGGTGTGCTGGGACAAAGTACTGAGGTGCCACCGGCTCCTGCTGGACACCAGGGACCAGGCTGGGCAAACTGTCCTCCAATTTGTTGAAAAGGCATCTTTGTCCAGTTGGTGTCCCCAGGGCAGGGCCAGGAAGTGACCCTAGGACAAGGGTACATCTCAGGAAGACCCCTTATCCCTGTGAGAAAAGGGTCATCATCATCCCTGGGTCATGCTCAAAGAGCTCTAAATATGGGGTTAGGTATTACATTTTTAATCTGTGGCTAATCCAGGCATTTGGGGTTATTTTAGTGATGCCCAAGGCCTGGGAACTGGTGGGACAAGGCTGCAGAAGRGCTGTTCTCAGCCTCAATTAATGCAACCAAACTAATGATAAGTTACAAGTTAACTCCATATCATGTTCCTCTAGTGGCACCTAAAGCATAGCCTCAGTTTTGGAGGGGGAATGGATGTTTTTTATGGTTATCTCAAAATCTACTTTGAAATATTTGCCCTTTCAGCTAAAAGAAATCCTGGAGCTGTTCCCACAGGTCCAAGAACCAACCCGAGTTGTACAGCTGAGCTCTGAGCTCATGTCACACCTTGTTTCTTTAGCAAATCTGCCAACAGTCTTTCCTTTATACCCCAGAAATCACCCCTATCTTGTCACAAACAGCAGCCTGAAAACTTGCATGACRTGAGATGAAAAAGGTGCCCTGGCAGCAGGAGAAATGCTCAGARAGGCAAAAATAGGCTCTACTGAAATCCTTGCTTGTTTATGTGCATGTTRGAGTAGCTCAGAGCAAGGCTGGTTCTGCTCTGAAGAAAAGAAGAGACTGAAGAGAGAGGATTTGTTTGAGAATAAACATCCCCGCCAAGGCAGTGCTTTTAGCTCTTGGGTAAAATCGTTCTCTTTAGCTGCATGGGTAAATATTTGTCTGCTCCTCTCTGTGATGGAGGAGATGGGGTTCAGGATGAGCTCTGCAGAGCAGCGAGCAGACCTGGTGTAGCACACTCGTGCTATGATGTGTACTCTTTTTCCCCTCCAAATCCTCACCTGTGCTGTTCCTGAACCACTAGGATGCTCTGGCCTGTGTTTGCTGGGCTCCTCTTTCCCACACCACCATTGGATCTGGTCAGCTTTTCCAAACTCCTCCAATAAGGGGAAGATTTCATTGAAGGAAATTTCTCATTTGGGGGAATGGCACATCTTGATCTTCAGGAGRCAGATTTCTTTGTCTTACTCAATTCACGGCTCTAGGCCTTTGGTTTTAGGGGATAGTGCTAAATAAAACTCCTGGTCAAGTCTCTTCTGTCCTGCACTGAGCAGTGAGTGCACAGTCCATGTCTTCAACCCTTTGGGCTGGAATGTGTTGCAGTGACTGTCACCCTTGCAAATGGATGAGGTTTTCATCAGGGCTGCTGCTGGGGAAGCTGACTTTGTGTAGGTCTGCMTCCWGAGGRAGCCTGGCAGGGGACAGTGCAGCTKCTCCATGCAAAACAGACTCYRGCTTGATAAAACAACTTCCAGGGTGGAATCTCATTCCTTATTTATTGCCAGACTTGCAAGGAGRAGCTGCTGGGAGAAATTTCATGTTCCTTCAGCACAGCTCTGAGTTCCCAAGCCTTTGGCAGCACTGCCACRCAGGGAATTTCCCCATTTGTCATGTGTGGCTGGGAGCTCATTTGCTCTCCCCAGCTCAGTGCTTCCCCTCCCATCTTGCCCAAAACCCCAGCAGCTTTGTCCCACCAGTCCAGGGGCTTTGTCCCAGCCCCTCAGAGACGCAGGCTTCCCCAGGGAGGGGCATCTCCCTCCATTTCCAAAGGCAGGAGAGCTGTGCTGTGCTGGGGGATGCCTTGGGGAGTTCCAGCACCTCTGGCGTGCAGCAGGGAGATTGGAAAGCAGAGAGTGGAGGGTTCGTGTGGAAATAGGACTCGGTTTAGGCGCCAAACTGCTCGGCTTCAGCAGGGCACATCTGCTGTGGAGTTTGCTGAGCAAAGCAGTGGAAGGCGTTCATTTCTGGCCCTGATCCTCCTACACCAGTCCATGCTCATTGAGTTCCTCCAAGGCTGAATTCACCTGGACTATCCCAGGACCCTGCTGCTCTGATTGCAGCCTTCCACGGAATGGGGAAAGGAAAGCAGCTCAGCAGCCACTGCCGTGCTCCTTCCCTTCCTGAACAAAAGCCATGTCTGCTCAGAGCTGCTGCTGCTGCCAGAGCCCGTGWCAGTAACCACAAGCCATCAATCCAAGTGTTCCAAAAAAAATGCTGTAAATTCAAGAAAAAATAAATTGCGACTTTGGAGGGTATCCTGCCGATCCTTTGTGACGTGATCTTGCTGCTGTTTCTGATTTCTAGGCCTGTTCTGTTGGTATTTCAGTCTCTTGTTACACTTGCTGTTGAACCCCTGGTCCTGGATGTGCTCTGCTATGATTCCAGCATGATGTAAATGCTCTCAGTACTGTGACAGCGCAGGGCTGTTGCACTGTAAATATGTACCATGAAGAGAGAGGCTATTTTTTGCATGCTTTTGTACTGTAGAACTGATGAGAAAATGACAATAAAGTCCACAGAGATGAGCCTGGCTGAAGGTGCAGTTCCTGAAGCAGCACTGGCTGCTGCCTCTYGGGTGTTCTCTGCTGCTCCACCCCTCTCTGTGCTTTCACCTACACCAGAGCGAGCCTTGGAGGGATTCCTTTTGTCCCCCTTCCTATGCTGGGCTCGCCCAGCATGAAGGAGCTCAGGGATCTGAAATGCTCAGGTGACACTCCCCCAGCTATTGCAGCTTCTTACTGCAATGGGGATTGGTGAAATTGTCTTGCTTTAGTTCCTTTGGATCCAAAGAAATGTGCAATTTCCTCTGCAGAGAGGCTGGGGCAGGCCTGGGTTGGAGCTCACTGGGCACAGCTGGGAAAGCCCAGCAAATCCTGGGCAGCTCTGGCTGAGCCTGCCCTGCTCCAGGCATCTTCCTCCAGGAGAGGCAGACAGAGGCACCAAGCCCCTCTCATTTTATATTACAAAAAAAAAAGTTTAAAAATAAGGTGAGGGCATCTGCCTCACTCCTGTCACTGATGTAGGAAGGCTGGGAGAGTTGGGAGTGCTCATCCTGGAGAAGAGAAGGCTCCAGGGGGATCCCAGAGCCCTTTCCAGTACCTAAGGGGCTTCAAGAGCTGGAGAGAGACTTTGGACAAGGGCCTGCAGTAACAGGCCAAGCAGGAATGGCTTCCCACTGACAAGAGGACAGGCTTGGGATAGTGGGCCAGAATGGTGGGGCACAATAAAAGGAGTTTGTTCAAATCTCTTAATGCAAAAGGCAGTGTAGAAATAACCTTGTCCTCTTCTGGGGGTGATGGTCACCTCACAAACAGGAACAGACACAAGGCTGAGATGTTTCGAGATGTTTCATTCACTCCCTCTTCAACACTCCTCCCTCCCTTCCCAGTGGAAAACATGCACTGTCCCATGGGACACTGCTGAGCCCGTGAGGAGGGCAAGCCCAAAGCACCCCTGTGTGATCCCCAGCATTCCCAGCCTGAATCCAAAGCCAGCCTGTGCCCGCTCTTGGGAAGAAAGGAGCCCTGTCCCTGTCAAAACAAGAGCAGCGGGAGCACCGTGACAGCTCCTTGGCAAATGCGGATTTCTTTGGAGCAGAGGCTCTGCAGGAGCTGGTGAGCTGCAAACAAAAAGCTCTKGCTGGCCCTCGACAGCCACGTTGGGAGAGCTCCCAGGAGATGCGGGAACTCCTCCTCCCTTTGTCTCTGGAGGATTTTCCCAGACACAGAGCAGAGGCTGTTTGCACTTGGCATTGCCGCAGTGAGCTCTGCKGTGGACACTGGTGGCACCGAGGATCCATGCTGATGTGCCACTTGCTCCTGGCAACATCTCACTGCAAGGGGCTCAGCTCCCATTTTCCCTTCCAGGCTTTTTCTGGCCATGAGCATCTTCAGGGCAGCRCCGCTTCTGCCGATCACTGAGGCGGGCAGGGCTCTGATGTCACAAAGGGCTGAGCGCTGGCATTCAGGCAGGGCTGTGACATCACACAGGTGACATCACAYGCCCAGCACTGTGACATCACCGTGCCATCCCTATATAAGCCAGGCCAGCCCCCACAGCTGCCAGTGCAGCTGCGATGGGACATTTCGGAGCCATGGGCGATGTCAGTGTCCTGCCAGCGACTGCRCTTGTCCTGCTGCTGGCCACTGGGGCTGCCTGGTGGGCCCTTGGCCACCGGACACCACGGGGGTGGCAGGCAGYGACACTGAGGAGGGGGAAAGCACCTCGGGGTCCCAGCCTGGGGACCACAGAAGAGCCAAGGAGCCCCTGTGGCTCCCAGGTTCTCCAGGCCTTGGGTGATCCCTCCAAAGTGTCCAGATGCTCCTGCCAGCCCTCCCGTGCAGCCCCTGCAGCTGCAGCCCCTGYGTGAGCATGGCCAAGGAGCTGCAGGAGCTGCTGCTGCTGCCGTGGGCTCCGGACGGGACATCCACAGCGCTCGATGCTGGGATGTGGCAGGCGCTGAGGGCATGGCTGAAGGAGCTGCTGAAGAAACCACCCAGCGTGCTGTGGCTCACCCAACTGCTCCCTGCGAGAATGGCCATCCCTGGGAGAGCCTCCAGACCTTCAAGGATGCCATTCCACCGCAGATCCTCCAKGCATCCAGGAACCTCAGACCGTCAGAGAGCCACCATCGTTCCAGGAGCCTCYGCTGCCTCTGACGGCCTCCAACCCCCAAGAACCTTGCTGCCCTCGACCACCTCCCTCCTTCCAGCTCCTCCCTCCCTTCTCCCCCTTGCAGAGAACCCGTGCCCCTCTGAGATCCTCCCAACACCCTCCATTCCCTCGCACAACCCCCAGCCCTTGGACATCCTCCCACTTCCAAGATCCTTCCTTCCCTCCAAGTTCCTGCCCCACTCTCAGAGCGTCACTCCTGGCAGCCTCCATCCCTCCCAGAGGCTCAGGGAGTCATGCTGGCCTGTGGACGCTGAGGACCCCATGGGCAGCTCTCTCTGCTCCCTCGGAGCCATGCACAGCAAGGACACGGGCACATCCCTGCTCACGGACAGGGCCAGGGAAAGCCCAGAAGCTGCAGTGGGAGCCCAGCTGGATCAGGGCAGGCATTCCCAGGTAGCAGAGCCTCGGGTGTCCTGCAGCCAGCAGTGTCTGCCCCACGGCTCCCAGGACACAGCTGGGGCTGTGCCAGCCGGGAACAGCKCGTGCTTGGTGGAGGAGACGGTCCCCAAGAGACCCCGGAGGTTCGGCCATCTCCACGAGGATGGGTGCTGGGCACCAGACAGGTATTTCCAGTGGCAGGTGAGATGTTCTGAGGAGGATTAGTGTGAAATAAATTAGGATTTCCCCRAAGAGCTGTCTCTGAGTGTTCCTACTCTTCTGGATTTGACTGGGCTGGGCTCCTTTCTTTCCAGGAACTGGCACAGTGCTGGCTTTGGATTCTGGGTGGGAATGCTGTGGATAACAGGTTCATGCTTTGCTGACCTGGTTTGAGGGATATTCCAGGCCATAGAACATCCTGCTGACTCTGGAAACTGGGCAAGCTGGTGACAGGAGGAGAGTCTGCTCAGTGTTGGGATGGGCTGGGCATCAGGCAGTGGGTGCTGAGCACTTATGATGGGCATCACTGCTTTGTCCTGGGCTTTGGTCCTCTGGCTCATTTCTCCCTTTCTTCTTCTTCTCCCTCCTTCCTTCCTTCTTCTTGTTTGTTTTTGCTTTCCTGGTTTTCTTCTTCTTCCAGTTCCTATTCTCAATCTTTCTTCTTCTTCTTTCTTTTTTTTTTTTTTTTCTCCTTTCTTCACTGCTTTGTTTATTTCTCTTTTTCACCTTTTTTATTTTTTCCCTTTTAATTTTTTTTTCTGTTTTCAAAAATTCTTTTCTTGTTTTTCTTTTTCTGGAGCAGCTGATCACAATGTTGATGGAGGTGTCTGCCTCTGTTCCCAACAGGGCAACCGTTGGGCACAGACCCGTATGAACACAGCATCAGAGTCCATGTGTCACCAAAMCAGTGGGAAGAACAGAAACTCTCCACCCACATCTTTGCTGTGTCAGAGAATCAGCTGTCCCTTTATTCTGGCCACGATRTGCAGCAGAAATTATTTCAGCCACACATTCCCAGGTGGAGCAGTGAAAATCCTTCTGACCCCCATGGTTCTTTACCAGACTTTTCCCATATTTCTACATAAAAACCCCACAGAAATTCCCCTTCATTGCTTCTGTAGWACACAATGCTTAGTATCCGATYCGAGGGTGAGGAAACTGTGGCTGCTCCTGGATCCTTGGAAGTGTCCAAGGCTAAGTTGGATGTGGCATGGAGCAACCTGGGACAGTRGAAATTGTCTCTGCCCATGGCAGAGTGGCACTTGTTGAGCTTAAAGGTCCCTYCCAACTCAAACCATTTTGGGAYTGTGTGTTCTGCCCAAACACACGATGGGCCCAACAGCTGCCAATGCCAAAGTTAATTGATGGATAAATAAATTCCTGGCAACCACCACCACCACAAAGGGAAGGAAAATTGCTCCATAAGATGGATCAGCAGAGGCTCAGGTGGGAAATGGGGATATCGAGAGTTCCTTACTGCACAAGCACTTYTCCTGGATTAATGCTGTTTCCCATTTCAGCTGGATTCATACCCCAACATTTTGTCAAGGAGTGAACAATACACTGAGGTCAGATAATTGCTGTTTCCCTGTGCATGTGGTGTCCTGATGGGGTCACATCTCTGCCACCATGACTGCTCCAGCCCTGACATGGTCAGTGCCAGGAAATGCCCCTGGAGCTTATGGCCATTTAGGATCTCACTGGGAACTCTATTTGGGGYGGGTTTCAGCCACTTTCAAATGGCYTGATAGCTGCTCCCCCTCATTTTSYTGTAAGTGGGCTACGTATCAAAATGGATTTCTAGAGCAGTAAATTATAATTTAGTGCTTATTATAATATTCATTGAGAGCTGCTGTCTGCTGTAGTGTTACATCAAATACTAATTATTAGAAATTAAGGTGACAGGAGGGAATAATATCCTGAATTGTGTAAGTGGGAGTAATAAGAGCYCAGGAGGGATAAACAGACAAAGTAGCAGGAGAATTTCCTTTCCACAGGGAAATGAGAGGTAAGGAAATCCCCAGGAGCAGGGCATTGGGAGGCATGGCTGCCTGAGCAGGGGGTGAGGGCAGGACACAAAAATAATCAGAGCTTCAAGGACACCAAGCAGAGGTGGCACAACTGTGGAACCATTGAATTCAAAGTGTTCAGTTTTGGGGCATCACCACCTGGCAGGATTCACTCGGAGGATTGACCTCCAAAAGTTCCATCTTGCCTCAATGCTATTTTTCTAGTTTGTTTTGTTTTGTTTTGGGGTGTGTGTGGGTGTGTGTGTGTGTGTGTGTGTGTGTGTATGTGTGTGTGTGTGTTTTAATTCCTCTTCAAGCTGAAATTAAATTTCTATTATGATTTTGTAGAAGGCTGGTCTAGTAAAGGGTGTCTCTGCCCATGGCAGGGAATTGATGATCTTTAAGGTCCCTTCCTACCCAAACCCARCTGCAGGAGTCAGATGGATGCAGAGCAGGATAAACAGCCAGGAAACCAGTGAAAGCCATGCAGGGCTGTGTGAGTGACATCGTTTTTCAGTCCCCATCAAAGGGGAATCATAAAATTCACCTTTTATTGTTGTGCATGCTGCTCCATACCAAGCACAGCTGTCTCCAAGGCTTCCCTTCAGCAGAACTTTAATCACATTCCCTTTTTCCAGTGGTTTAATTAGGTGAAAAATCGTATATATGGAAGTGATTCCTTTGCTGCCAAACGTTTCCAGGTTTTTCCTCTTCTTCTCCTTGAGTAGGAAAAAGCCATTTACCGTGTTCTTTTCTAAAGCAGTTTCCAGGGGGGTCCAGCAAACACGGCCAGGAGCCATCAGCAGCCAAGCCCTGAGTTTCTTCACTTGGAAAAATCAATGTTTTGCCACTAATGGGAGCTGAATGCCTATTTTCTGTGCCCCATTTATTTTATTGCCAGGGCTGGGGTGCAGAGGAGGCAGCACAGGGGCAGCTCTCCAGAAATCCCACTGAGGGCACCGGGTGTTCACTCCCATCCCATTTTATGGTGTGTGATGTGCAAATACATTAGGGAAGAGCTACTGCACCACCARCTGGAATAACTCACAGTGCCTGGCTGTCTCTCTGTCCATCTGTATTTTTTTTATTTGGAGATTCCACAGGGTTGTTTCAGGATGGGGGKAAACTCTTGCTCAGTTTGTGACCACCAAAATCCCCGTGGAAGACATTTTTTTTGCCATGTCAGGGATTTTTTCATTATTAGACTGAAAAATTGTAGTTTTTCCCCTGCCCTGTTGGTGGGATGAGGACAGGGATGGGAGCCCTGAGCCACCACGGGATGGCAAAGGCAGGAGGTGATCTGACAATTAAAGTGTGTTGCTGTCACCAGCATTTCCTGCCTGTAATTAAAGATTTTTATGAGGAGGCATATGGTAACCCMCTCCTCCCCCCCAGCATTTTGCCAGGTGTGGGTTTATTAACGGCTGCTAATTACACCATTATTCAGTGTCTAAGTCAAGGAAGGCTGCACCCCTGGACCCTGAGTGCTCCRACTGCCAATGAATGCTGCCAAAAATTTCTTAATGTAAGTGTTCTRTTCTTCCCTTATAGAGAGGACTGAACCTCCGGGGGTTTGCAGGGTGTCCCTCAGCACCCCTGGGACACAGAGGCTGTCCCATCAACACTTCACCCAACCCCCTCTCTGTGTACAGGGTCTGCAATCCGGCTGCATGTCCTCCTCACAGACAGAACATGCTTTTGTTCCCAGGGGTGAGTTTTGCTGAAAGCCTGATAGTCCCAGGAGCTGTAAAGGGGCTCAGAACTGTTCCCTATCTGATAAAATGTCCAGCTGCCAGGACATTCCCCACCCCAAGGAGCTCCTTCATGTCCCTGAGCAGGAGGGCATTATCCTGGGAGAAAAATCAGTGGCTTTGCTCTCCTCAGACCTCAGCTCTGCTGCCAGGGTGTTCATTGGACCAAGTGCTTGACAACAAGGCTGTTTCTCCTGCAAAAAGCTCTTGGAAAAGTTTTACCAACAGCTGGTTACTGTTTGTATGTGGGTGTTAGGAAGTACCTCACTCCCAGCCTGGGGCTCTGAATATTCCGGCTCTGTGCAAGTATTGGGAGAAAAGGACCATTAAAATCATCCATGTGGAAGTTCCCCCCCTCCTCTCCAAGTCCCAGGTCCTGCTCCTGCAGCAGCCTGGTGCCACCCTGTCCGTGCCTGCCTTGTCACCAGTGGAACCTGTGCCATGGCCACGGACAGGCTGGATCTGCCTCTGAGAGGGATGGGAGCCTGGGGACAGTGAGACAAGGACAGATGGAGAGGCCACTGGGGATGGAGTCAGGGTGTTTCAAGCTGCTCATGAGGGCCTGGACTTCCAGAGACCCCACAAACACATGGACATGGTTTGGAGTTGGGAATGCCTCGCCAATACCGTTGGATCCAGCAGCTGTGGATGTGGCACTTGAGGACATGGTGAGCAGTGGCTGTGGCAGCACTGGAGGAACTGCTGGCCTTGATGCTCAGAGGGATTTTCCAAACCAAAGAATTCCATGATTCCACGAGCTGCCACAGGCTGCTGCCTGAGTGCACTGCTCCTGCACCACTCTATGGAGTATTAGGATATAATTTATCATAAAATAATTATGGTGACTGGAGTGCTGGCAGTGCATGTGGCAGGATTGCATTTCTGGGGGCAGGTGGGAAGGGGCTCTCACAGGAGGGCCCGAGGACAGCGTGGGTTGATTTCCACACCAGGAGGGTAAAATGGTCAGTCTCAGATTTAACTGTGGACACATTTCCCTGGCTGGTGACACAGCAGCATATCAAAATCCCAGGGGCCAGGGAGCCGGTCAGGCACAGCCCTGGGCAACCACCATGCCCAGCATTTCCCACTGATGCACCCCTCCAGCTGGGAAGGATGTCCTGGGGAGGAAATTGTCTCACTCTGGTTGGGAGAGAAGAAACGTGTGAAAATCAGAATAACACTTTTTTCAAGGAAAATACAGTGTTGGGATGTATAAACTCAGTAGGACCCAGCTTTCAGCCAATCTCTGTGTGGTCAGCCCTGGCTTGAAATGCCCAGGAAAAATATCTCCTATTTATTAAGAWAAAACAACTGATTCTTCTGAGGAGATACCATAATTTTCAGTGTCCCGGAAAGTTACACCGAGTTGGAAAAACAGACCAACCTCCTGYGGAGCTGACTGAGCCTGGGCTAGGCTGCTGCTGCCCTCTGCTGCCAAATGACACTTTTCACATGTTATTCTTCCCCATTCAGGGAAGAAAGAATTCCAAACTGTGTTTTATGTTTTCAATACATTTTTTATTGCAGTCACCTCTAAATGACTCACAGGGTTAATTGCCTTTTAAACCTCTATGCTAGTAAAGTAGAAATTATTATTGATATTTAATGATAGGACTAAACAGAAGATAAAAAAATGCAGTGGAAAGATACACAGACTGACAGGGATATTTAATTCAGTACAGAGAGAATAAGGTTGGTTAAGTCACTTATAAGAGCTTATCAGTCTTTGTAACATTTTAACAGGAAAATCTGATTAATGCAAGGAACTTTGCTATTTAGTAGAAACAGGACACTGGGCAACAAAAATAAAACGTAACAAATATATATATACAGCAACATAAGGTGAAGTAGGACATAGTGATGGAATTGCTCGTTTCCTCCAGAGGCTTCTGCTCTGTGGACCAGCAGCTCCGTGCTGAGAGAAACACAAACACAGGTGGAGGGAGTGTGAGGAGCCCCAAGATTCCACAAATTGGGCTGAAATTTGGTTTGATTCCAACAGGTCTCATCAGAGCCTTGTCAGCAGCATCACTCTATCATCCTTCTCCACGCACTTCCTCCCTGGTGGCTTTCCAAACACAGTGAAAGGCACCACAGCCAGGGCCAGGCAGCGCCTTGGCAATTGGCAAAGCCTCCATGTCCTCCTGACCCCATTACCTGCACCAGCCTCAGGCTGGAAAAAACGACCTACACATTCCCACAAGTCCTAGTGAAGCTTCGTTTTAATAACCCTTAAAAGAGGGCAAGTGCTACATTGTGTTCAAACATAACACTACGCGGCAGGGAAGGGACCTCCACTGCTAGGTTATCCCAATCCAAAATTTTCTCAAATTTAACAAATCCGAGTTACATTTTAAAGTCTTTTTCCCCCCCTCCTACCCGAGGGAGATTGAAACTGTAGCAGTTCTACAGCTTTTAGTCGAGATCCTGGCAGGATGAGCGTAGAAAGGAAAGCTAAACCCTTGTAACTTTAAGCTCTCTGTATGACTTCTGTTGCCTTCTCAGAATTTCCATTACGCTAACTGATCGTGCTGCTTCATCTTTCTGCTCTTCTCCTCGACATCTCTGAGCACATCCTGCAGTTTCTTAGAGCTCTGTGTCAGGAGTGCAAAGCTTTCCTTGAAGTTGCCGGCGCCGTGCTCCCTGCAGATGTTCTCAAGCCCATCAAAGCACTGCAAAATCTTCTCCAGCTCGGYCTTGACAGCTTTCTGCTCCTCCAGCTCCGCTCGCAGCGCCTGCCCCGCGGCCGCCTCGGCCCTGCACTGCTGCTGCAGCTGCTGCAGCTCCTCCTGCAGCGCCTGGAATTCCTCCTTGCTGTAGGAATATTGCTCATGCACCCTGTCCTCGGGCAGCAGCACGTTCTTAGGGATGTTCAGCACCAGCTGCAGCAGCACTTCTTCCATCTTGGAGAAGAGTTTATCGAAGTGCTCCTTCATGAAGAGCAGGAATTTCTCSGTGCATTTCCGGATCTGGGAAGGGCTGATTTTGCAGCCGGGAGTGSCGTCCAGCTTTTTCAGCATCACGCCCTCCACCACCAGCATCATTTCGAAGAGGTAGTCCTGGAAGGCGATGTAGACGCGCAGCAGGCACGTCTGAGGGGTGAACCCGAAGAACTGCGTCTCGTAGATCATGGGATTCACCGACATGGTGGAGGGGAGGTCGGGGCGGCCGGGCCGTGAGGAGAAGCCGGTCTCACAGGGCTCCGCGGCGTTACCTGAGGCGGCGGGGCCGCTCCCCCCGCTCGGCTCTCGGGCCCAACGGCGCCACTGCCGCTGCTTTCCCGCCTCGCTCCAGCGCCGCCTCAGGGCACCCCCGMCCGCAGCCAATCAGCGCYCGCAGCCAATCAGCGCCCGCCAGGGCACCAGCGCCGCCCAATCACCGAGCGTCTCATCCCTCGGCGGGTGGGCCAAGAGCGCTTGGCCAATGAGAGCGCGYAGTGGTGGGCGGGCACTGCAGCRCCACCAATGGAAGCGCGGAGCTGCGGCYGCCCACCRCACGCTTGGCCAATGGGAGCGCAGAGCGGTGGGMGGGCACTGCGGCTCGGCCAATGGGAGCGCGGAGMKTCGGCGCGCGCAGCGCCGGGCCGGSCGGGGMGGGGCGGRGCGGTGCCGCCAAGATGGCGTACCAGACGTTCCGGCAGGAGTACCTGCAGGTGCCGCCCGTGACCCGGGCCTACACCACCGCCTGCGTCCTCACCACCGCTGCCGTGGTCAGTGCGCGGCCGCGGCCCCGCCCGGGAGCCCGCACCGCCTGACGGGGCCGAGGGGAACGGGGAACGGGGAGGGGAGGGTGTCAGCAGGGGGCTGCCCGGGAGGGAGGTCGTGAGGGGGATTGGGTGCGGGGTGGGCTCGCGGTAGCCATGGAAGGGGAGCTCTCAGGCACCGCCCCCGCCCAGAGCCGGTTCTGGAACCCTGAGGGCGCCCTGAGGGAGGAGATCCCCAAAACCGGCCCCGGGGAAGTGCAAAGTACGAATAAATAACAGCAATGCCAGAGGGTTGTTGTATCGAGGCTCCCACTTGCTAGAARACTCTATGAGTGTTGATTGAGGACTTGCTGGGCTCTGTTTTGGCGCACAGGAATGGGTTGCTGGTTTGGGTGTGCATTGCTTTTTTTCTTGTGTTGATCCTGTCAAAGTGTTCTCTTCTTTTTCAGCAATTAGAACTTATCACACCCTTCCAGCTGTATTTCAACCCTGAGTTAATATTTAAGCACTTTCAAGTAAGTGTTTTCTGATGCACAGAAGGTTTAAACTGTGCTGTAGAGTTTCTAAGTGCTTGTCTTCTCAAAACAGTGTACTTTTTGTATTGGATATATTCTTTTAAAAAGCTRCTGAAGCCAGTGTGCAGACCATTGTACCTTAAAATGGATCTTAGTTTCATTTTCTGTAAAGGAGATTTCGGTTTTACTGTTACTGCTTATCTATTTAGACAATAAAAATAAGCTGTCATGTTTAAAGTCCTTGTATTTGTCTTATTTCCAGATATGGAGGTTAATCACAAACTACTTATTCTTTGGACCAGTTGGCTTTAATTTTTTATTTAACATGATCTTTTTGTATCCTTCACCAAGTTGGGTGGGAAGCGGAGCTYCAGAGTGCGGGAATGTTGCTGGACCTGCACACAGGAAAAGTTGAGTTCCTGGGAATTCAGCAATGCCAACTTCAGTGGTGTCATGAATGGGCTTCAATGGGTCCTCCTGCTTAAGTGGTCAAGAATTTTGTCATTTTCTTTTGTGGTGTTGAGGATTTGTACAAGCCTGATCCTTCAGGTTGGTGCTGACTTGGTGCAGGAAAAAATCCCAGGTAATGATTTTACCTCCTGAGTCACCCTCTCTGCAGAAGTACTCAGAAAGAGCCAGTTGATGCARTGAATTGATAAAAAACTCTTTAGCTGATTTGAAGTAGAATTGAATCATTTTCTGCTTGGATCTGTCTTCAAATTCTTTTGTGATGGAATTTTCCTGACCTGTGGCCTCAGATATCGGTACTGCCGCATGCTCGAGGAAGGCTCTTTCCGGGGTCGGACGGCAGATTTTGTATTTATGTTCCTTTTTGGAGGATTTTTAATGACTGTATCCTTTCTGTTTTAATTCCAAACTCCTTTAGTAAAGCTGAAGATGTGTGAATGGGAAGTGAAACCATGTTGGTACTGTTACCTTAACGTAGTTTGTTGCACAAATTTTTTAATACTTTGGGATTATTGGTGTTTTTTCAGTTTTTTTCTGCTTGATCGTGGAAATGAGGTTATCAGGGGAGTGCTCAGGTGTGGGATCTTGCTCAGGTTGTCTATGAAGAACTAATTTAGATTTTAATGAGATTATTCATAGTTCGTCAGGTACCCCAAATCCTGCTGCAGCTGTTGGATTTGTTGGACAGCAGTTTGGTGTACTTGAACCTGGGAAAGTGGAGTTACCAGCTGTGTGAAAAACCTGAGATTATGAATTAAGCTGTGAAATTGTTGAACTCCCAACTGTTTCCTTAACAACCCATGCCAGCTTTTTGGGCTGTTTGTGAACTTGGTGTTCCTGGGCCAGGCATTCACCATCATGCTGGTCTACGTCTGGAGCCGCAGGAATCCCTACGTCCGCATGAACTTCTTCGGTCTCCTCATCTTCCAGGCCCCATTTCTGCCCTGGGTATTGATGGGCTTTTCACTGCTCTTGGGGAACTCCATCATTGTGGATCTCCTGGGTGAGCAGTGGCAACAATCACAAGGATCTGTTCCTCCTCATGTTTGACATGAAACAGAAAATGTGGACAAATCCATGCCGTAATGCTTGGTATTAGTTGTTCTAGTATATTTATACCAAGCTTTTCTGATTCCTATCTATTGTAGAATGTTTTCTGCTGTAATAAGGATGGAAAGAGTTTCTGATGTTCTGGCTTGGAATTAGCCRTGATGCATCATCTGACTGTGGCATCAGTCTGCTGAAATAAGAGTTCATATTACTATTTTATCAGCTCTAATAGAGCGAAAACATCAGTATTTTTAATATTGACAAGCAGTTTTCCCTGTATTAATGTCTAGTAATGTAAATKAAGCTTTTCATCTGCTGTTAGCTTGCTTCCTTAGGTTTTGTATTTCTGTATCATCCTATTTTCTGTGAAAGAACAAATGCGTGTTTTTTTCCTGAAAATAGTGTAAAGCATTTGAGAGGTGTAAAGGAGAAGTATTGGAAAATCACCATTTGGCTTTTGTTTCTGTACCAGGCATTGCTGTTGGGCACATATATTTTTTCTTAGAGGATGTCTTTCCCAATCAGCCTGGCGGCGGGAGGCTCCTGAGAACACCATCTGTCCTGTGAGTATTTGGAACAGACATGGGAAAAGCACTTGTTTGGAAACCTGTAATCCAGTCACATCAGCCCCTGGTGAATTGGGCAGAGACAGAATTGGGGGATGTCTGCACTTGCGTTTTTTACTGAAATCATCTTTATAAAGAAAGATTTGTGTGAGTGGGAACTGGTTTATTTGGAAGAAGAGCTAAAGGATTTTGCTTTTCAGTTTTTTGGTAACATTTACCAGGCTTTGCTGACAGGTTTTTTAGGTGGCACCAAAGCTGCATGTTCTGCTGAGTGTGCACAGAGTGACTGAGGTATAACATAGAAGATATCTAATGCTTTTTTGTAAGTCATCCTTTGTAATGCTTTTGTAAGTCTTCATGAGTTAAAAATTTTGGGAAAAAGSCCCTCAGTGTTTATAGTGTTTATAGTGTTGAGTGGTGCTGCTCCCACTCAGTTCTCTCTTGTSTGGAGGCTCTAATCCTGTGTGGTGCTTTCCCAGAACAGCTCTGATGGTCGTTTTTCATAGTATCATGGAATATCCTGAAGATACTTGTCATAGAATATTTATATCATAAATAGCAGAAGCTGAACCTCTTCAATCTTGATTTGGGATGTCCCTCCTCATAGCTCTGAATTGGAGAGCAAGTGTGATTTGAGCATAAATCCTGCTTCCTGGGCAGGCTGTTCCACGTGCAGCATGTCASCAGTTTTGATCTTACTGTGAAATGTGTATTTTAAAGGACAACCATCCTTTATGTTTTCCAGGAAGGCAATATTTGACACGCCGGAGGATGACCCCAACTACAACCCCTTGCCAGAGGAGCGGCCRGGAGGATTTGCGTGGGGAGAGGGGCAGCGCCTCGGGGGATAATCAGGGCCTGTGCCAAAACCCAGCCACCCCTGGGAGAGACTGGCCCACGTGGGGATTCTCCTTCCCCAGTGCAGAGAGGACTCCCTGACAACTCTATGGTTTGGAATACAAGCACTTTATGGAATGGCAGTCTCACCCAAGACACTCCCAGCGTTTTTCCCAATCAGGGAATTCATTGTGCTGGACATAATCTAAATCCAGTGGAGCCAAAAATTTTAAACTGGAAACCATTTCCTGTTAACTTCAGTTAACAAAGCCACAAGTACTTGTTTAAAGTGATTTCTAAAGCATTTTTTTCAAATTATTTGATACATGAAACTCTACGGGAAACTTTACGGGAGACAAACCCAGCTTTTTGGGTTTTAACTCATTTTTTTTTATTCTTGGATAAAACAACTACAAGATGATTGAAAGGCTGTGTCATTATTTCAATGGCATAAGGGTTTTTAATCTGAGGTGCTGCTGTCTCCAGTCATCTGTGAATTGCAAGGAATACAACRTGCAGCATAATGCCGCTTTTCATTCTGCCAGTTGGGTTTCTGGAATGTTCTGCTGGTCGAGGCTACATTTCAGTGTTTTTTYCCYCAAGGATTGTGTGTTCAGGTGCYCAGTTTTGAGCCTGGCTGGTGGTTAAATAGGTGTGTCTGCAAAATCCATCCCCATATGCCCACTGCTGTTWCTGAATAACCAGCAGCACCAGGGAAGAAAACTTGTCTGGAGTCAGGACTCAAAATGATGATGAGTTGAATAAAATGTCTTGTGGATCCTTTTTGGTTAATCCTCTGTGTAATCCTGTAGTCTTGAGGCAGCAGGTAAAAAAGCAGAGGCTGGAAAAAGCATGTCCTGGAAGAGATGGGGATAACTGAAGCTTTTCCCACAAGTGTCTCAGAACTCTTAAGGAAACAGGATTGTCTGCTCAGGATGTGAAATCCATGGTCTGGATGAAGTTTGTTGTGGGAGGGCTGTGTCCARTGCACRCCAGTGGCACTGAGTGGGATTTATCTTAAAAYTACATTGATWATGAATATCTCTGAGGAGCCACKTAGGAATTTGGAGCTCAATTCAGCTCATCATGGTCAGTTATTCCTAAATTGCCATAGGAAGTACTGGGTAGATTTTTATTGATTATATCATAATAGGTAACAAGAGTTGAAGCTGYGTCTTCATTCTAAATTTTAGAGAATGGGCTCATCTGTATMTCATTTAGTCTCAGATTTTGTTATTAAAAACTGGCTACGGGATTTAATTTTTTTTAATTCGTAGTCCAGGAGAGGAATGTCTGGGCATTTCAGGGGAAATGGTTTGTCCACAAGCAGCATGTTAGGTTCTGAGGAAGGGAATGTGTGAGATAATTTGTATCTGCATTTTTATCCATTAAAGGTTACAAAACCTTAACGGAGCTTTGCGGGGTTTTACAGGTTTTTTGGTCTGTTTTTGGGGGCAGTCTTAGTTGTTTCCAGAACAGACTTTTAATACTCGTAGAGATCAAGAATTAAAGTATTTTGGACAATGTTGCTTCAGCATAGCTTATGAGACAGGAATGAGATCAAAACTCTGGGATTTAGGTGTTTTTTTTTTCCCTTCGTAGCTTGTTACTGGGACAAATCATGAATGGGAACATGTCCCGATCCGGCCAGCAAGAGGGTCTCTGCCCTCCTTGGCTGGATTTGGCTGCCCTTTGGGGTCCGTGGTTTTTTCGGGAGTCCCCGTCTTTGGGGTCCGTGGTTTTTTCGGGAGTTCCCGCTCTTTGGGGTCCGTGTTTTTTTCGGGAGTCCCCGTCTTTGGGGTCCGTGGTTTTTTCGGGAGTCTCCGCTCTTTGGGGTCCGTGGTTTTTCGGGGAGTCCCCGGTGCCGAGGGGCGCGCGGAGAGGTGAGCGCTGCAAATGTCGGCGGTGTCGGGACTACAACTCCCATGATGTCCAGCGGCCGCGCGATGACGTCATCAGTGCGCCAGGGAGCCCGCGAAGCGCGGCCGGGTGGGGACCGGAGGGAGCCTCAGGGCAGCCCCGGCGGACGGGACGGGCCGGGACAGGACGGGGCCATGGCTCAGGACAGCGAGYCGCCTCCGGCCAAGCGGTTCAAGCCGGCGCCCCCCGGCACGCAGCCCCASAGCGCCGTGCCGCCCGCACACGTGCAGCGCCGCTCCCTGCCCATCTCCGGCGCTCGCGGCCCGCTGCTGGCCCGGCTCCGCCGCCTCGACAGCGCCGTCCTCATCGGTGAGTGGGGCTGGGAAAGGCTGCTCTGAAATGGTTTGGGTTTAAATCTGGAATATGGTAAAAAAGTAATGTAATTATTTTTGTGCTTTGGCTGGTTAAGGCAGCCGGGAGCTTCGTTTTCCCTCTCCTTTCGCCATCCACCTGGAGTTCAGTCAAAGACAGRTGGCAAAACTCTCCTTTTCAGAAGTGTCTCCTCAGCTACATTTTCAGGGATTTTCACTAATTTTATGAAACTTCTTGAGTCCCARCTAGTGAGCTTTTTGTCAGACTTCCAAGAACTGAAGGCATACAGCTTCCCACTAGGTCGTCTAAAGACTCAGCATTTTTTGGAATTAAATAAAAAATGCTTCATATCCCCCTCCTGTTAGTGTCACACCACAGACGCTTCACCTCCAGAAAGGCTGGAATATGTTTCTGAACCAGAGTGTGGTTGGAGAGYACCTGAGTGGAGGGAGCTCTGCAGAAGAGTGGCCCAACAGCAAGAGGARGGTTCTGGGTTCTGTCTTTGATCTGCCACTGCTTTGTGATGGGACTTTCTCTCYCTGTCTTCAGCCTCCCCATCCTGAAATAGGGCTAAAAGTTAACATWAAAAAAATGAGTTTGACAATGCTATAAAAGAGAGGGGAAAAATCACTCTTTCCTTGATGTTCCTTAGGAGAAACAGGCTCAGGGAAGACCACTCAGCTCCCTCAGTACCTGTATGAAGTAGGAATTGGCCATCCTGGCATCATCGCTGTGACCCAGCCCCGCAGGGTGGCAGCTGTCACTCTGGCTGCCAGAGTCGCCGAGGAGAAGAGGACAGAGCTGGGCAGRCTGGTAGGTTCATCTACAGATTGACTTTGGTTTAGTGCTGCAGTGGGGATGGGGCCCTGTCAGGCTTTAATGGGGAGTATAATAACCAGCCACAGGGGTGATAGATTCAATTTTATAATTAGTTTTGAGTTCCACAATTTAAGAAGGATGTAAAGCTRTTAGAGAGTGTTCAKAGGAGTGACACTAAGATGGTGAATGGTCAGGCTTGTCTGTGCAGGGCCRGGAGCTGGACTGGATGATACCTGTGGGTCCCTTTCAGCTCAGGATATTCTGGGATTCTGTAATTAAATGAATGAAGAAAAATGGCTCTTTAGCTGCTCGATGACAGGGCAGGCATGGTCTGTCTCTGTGGTATTTTATTTCTTGATTATTATCTGGATTCTTCCATTTTGAAAAAATACCGATTCATGAATAAAACAAAAAATACTGTGCTCTCTTCCATTGCTCCCTGTATGACARGTCACTGTCGAGGAGAGCAGAGTGCTGGATCTGTGCAGCTCTGTGGGAGAAAAGTGGAGGAGAAAGGCTTCCCTGCATGAAATCTTTAAAGAGCATGGAATCATTTCTAACAGGAGGAGKAAGGARAGGAAACTTGGGAGGCATTTGTGATGAACTTCTAGTTAGGAAGAAGCCAGCTGAGAGCATCCTTTGGTTAGMAYGTTAGATTTGGAAGATGAGCTGTTCACGGACAGTAGATTAACTGTTCTGCTTTCCAGCACTTCCATGGAGTCCTGGTTGGCTGTGTCTGATGCAGTGACCAGAGGGCTTTGCAGTCTTTCCTTGTGGCTTGATGGCAGTGAGAAATGCCAGTCTTTGTGCCCGTGCTCYCTGTAACCCCTCTGTGCTCCCTTGCCCAGGTTGGCTACACTGTGCGCTTCGATGACTGCTCGTCTGCCGAAACCAGGATCCGATTCCTGACGGACGGGATGCTGCTCCGCGAGGCCATCGGGGACCCTCTGCTGCACAAGTACAGCGTGGTCATCCTGGACGAGGCCCACGAGAGGACCATTCACACYGATGTGCTCTTTGGAGTGGTCAAAGCTGCACAAAGGAAGCGAAAGGAGCGGGGCCTGCGGCCACTGAAAGTGTGTTCATCTGGGATGGCAGTGAAGGGCAGAGGGGGCTGGGCTCTGAGTGCTCTGAGCATCTGGGGCTTTCCAAAGCATTTGCAGTTCTGTTCCCAGGAAAGGTACTGCATGTGGGATGGGTGAGCATGTCAGGAATTTGTGTGAAAGCACATTGGCTTTGCTGGAGGGGCCTGGCAGGGTCCTTGTGTTGCCTTGAAAGGCCAGTTTTTAATAATGACACAGACAAGATTAAGGGGATAAAAAGGGTTTTACCTCGGTATTTGGGATCCCAGGTGCACAACTTCATGGCAGAATGCACACCTGGGTACAGCACGTGTACAAGTTTTATAGGTTTCAGGAATTAGCATATCTATCTAGGATTCCCCAATAAGAAACTTAACAAATGCAGTAATGTCCCCCTGTTCTAATGAATCCCCCAGAGCTCAGTTTACACAAGATGTTCCAGAGAGAAGGCTTCACCCAAGGCTGGAGCCTCGGGTTTAAGATCGCACAGGGCACACACTGACTCCTTYCTCAGGATGTTTGGTCTCTCTGCCCAGCAGAACTCCTAAACTAAGCTGGAATATCAGGGTACAGGAATTACAAGCATGCAGGCTAAGGGGTGCAGAGGAATGCATAGAGGGTACAGAAAGCGTAAAAAGGAAAAGCAAAAATCATCAGGCATCACTTGCACGTTCTCATTCCACACCCCAGTGTATTTTATCTTACCAGCATTTTCTGCTTGTGTTAAAAAGCTGATGGCTTTTATGAGSGGAGATCACTCTCTTCTGTCCCAAACTATGTGAGCTGTTCTGGGCATGGTTCTTGGGATCCAGAAGCTGACTTGTGGCTGGTCCTGACTTGTCAGCRTCCAGCTGGGGAGAAGCTGCAGTGCTGACCCATCCTGTGCTCCTGTTGAAGGTGATCATCATGTCAGCCACGATGGACGTTGACCTGTTCTCCCAGTATTTCAATGGAGCTCCTGTCATCTACCTGGAAGGCCGGCAGCAYCCCATTGACATCTTCTACACCAAGGAGAGGCAGAGTGATTACCTGCAGGCAGCTCTGGTGTCCRTCTTCCAGGTCCACCAGGTATGGGAATCTGGCCAGATTTGTGCCCTCTGGGGCCAGGGATTGGCATTTTGGGTGGTGTGTTTGACTGCCAAATGCCTGATCTTGGTGTCATTTCGATAAACTGCATTTAGTTCTGTGAAGTTGCTGCTGCTGTTGGGATTTTGGATCTATACATCCAGGCCAGAGCTGAAAGGAGACTGCTCACCAAAGCTCTGTGATGTCACCTCAGGCCTAAAACCTGAAYGATCCTCTCACCTGAGTTTTCTGTACCTGGGTGCTTGCTGGCTCTCTCTGCCTGCCCTGGACAGTCATTTAGGGACACAGCAATTCCTCCATCCTGTTCAGACTCAATCCCTCAAAATGTGACTTACTCTTCACCTGTGGTGGATGCACTGGGAATTTAGGCTGTTGCATACCTTGCACACACCACGTGTGTGTCTTTTGTTCCTTGCTTGCCTGCTTCACTGAYTTGCTGCCAGGGCCACATCTCGTTACCATCTCAGTTCTCCTTCCCTATCCTAACCCTCCTAACTTGCTTTTTCCTCTGGTTTCAGGAAGCCCCTGCATGCCAGGACATCCTGGTGTTCCTGACTGGTCAGGAAGAAATTGAAGCAATGACCAAAACCTGTCGAGACGTTGCCCAGCATCTCCCTGAGGACTGCCCACGGATGACAGTACTGCCCCTTTATGCTTCTCTGCCCCACTCCCAACAACTCCGTGCCTTTAAACCTACCCCTCAGGTGAGGGAATGTGAAGTTTGTTTGCTTCAATGAGTGTTTGGAAGAAACGTGTGGAATTTAAGAAGTTAAAGCAGTCTGTACTGATAGTAAGCAACAGTCTCTGCTGCGTTCAGGCTGAGTGGTTCCAGTGTGATATAAAACACCACAATGTGATGGTTKTAACAAATGCATCCAGTAAGTCCTGTGGGATCATAAAAAGAAGGAAGGATTAGAGGGAGTGAAAAGGGCAGAGGAGTTGAAATTTCCCCCATTTCATAGGAATTTTTTATCCATATCACAAAGAAGCTASAGCAGCTAATGGGGAAAATACTAAGAAAGCTGAAAACCTGGGAATGCTTGTCAGGGCCATAAGAAAAGAGATTTGTGCTGCCTCAGGCTCTTTTGTACCTACTCAGCAGATAAATAAGAATGCAAATGTTGTGCCAGAAATGAAACTAAAATTGTTG